CAAAAATTACGATCTGTGGATGAATGAATGGATGTATGAATGGGTCCGCCCTATAAACGGGCGTGACGTGTGTGAGGCTGAAGTCGAATTCTTGGCCATAGATGGCGCCACTGAAAAACAAGAATCACACACTCTGCCTTGAATTTTGCTCGGTTTCACCAAGCAAACTTGCTAGTGTGGCAAATAACATTAGAAACAACAACAATTATGTGTTGAGGGAGTATGTTTTGATGCGTGCTTTGCACCAATTAAGCTTTTTTTTTTTTTTTTTTTTTTAAATGAAGTGGGAAAATGCGCATATCCTTGAACCGTATATGAATTTAATTAATTTAGTATTATTTAATTATTTTAGTAATTTCTAGTAATTAGTATTTTCGTAATTTTAGTAATTATAATATATTTAATTATTTTAGTAATTTTGTTTAAATTATGACATACTTTTAACTATTGTTATTAGTTATTATCTTAGTTATTAGTTATACCTCTTAACAAATTCTAATGAATGTGCAAAATATATTCTATAAGTTTATGTAGTATTTATGTTAGTAAAATATAAGCTTGGCAGCTCCCCTAATATGTTGTGAAAATTATTAGTTTTTCTTAGTTTATGTCAGCTAGCTTGGTATATGTTGAGTATAAAGGTGCTAATGTCCGATGCGGCTGTACTGCGCCAAACACAGCCATCATCATGTACTTAATGTAACAACAAATGATTGTTTGGTATAAACCCTGAAAATGGCATTTACAACAATGAAATTTATTGAGATTTTAAAATTATGTTATTGTTGCTTATCCTCTTAATCTGACATATTTCAGATAAGCTCCAAAATGCCGATGACCGCAAGAAAATCCGCAACAAAAAGATCTTAGGTAAAGTAAGGGGATCTTAAGTAAGATCCACCTTATAAAATCCAAGGCAAACCTAGAATATGTCGAAACTGGTTGAACACAGCCTTTTTAGCAAGCAGGAAATTACTTTAAAATTATGCTCTTTCTGATAAACTAATGCGTGGAATAGCCATCGAAAAGAATTGTTGATAAAAACTTAAAAAATTCTTGGTTTATTTTCATAATTAATATTTATTTTATGGATAAATACAGAATATCCTATTTTCTGAGAATGACTCTAATAGGCATTAAACTGAAATGAGGAAATAAAATTGTTTTGAAATTCACGTTTTTTAAGTCACAACGAAAAGCGTGAACCGCCTGCTTTTCGCTATTAACTTCTATCACCACCAAAAGTTTCCTTTCGTTTTATAGAAAACGATGCGACTTGCGTTTTTCGTTATCGATGCAGACATTCGTCCATTTCATGTCATCCCCCTCAAAAATGGGATCAATTTTTGAGAGGGACGAAATTAAATTTCAGTCACAATAGTTTCCTAAATTTTAGACATAAGAGAAACAAATTCTTAAATATATGTACTAAGTACCTGCAAAAAGTTTAATTACTTATTTATTTTTTTTATCTATTCCTTGTTCATAACTTTAAGGAATTTAAGTCGATGATAAAAGATTCCTATTTTTTGAAGGGGTTATATACACACCGCCCTCCCCCCCCCCTCTTACCTACGAAGCTCATGGCCGCAGAGGTGCCAATTATTGCAATTCGTAATTATTGCAATTTACTTGTCAAGATTACGGTTTTATGGTTTAGTAATAAAAATTACGGTTTTTGAGAATTTTCGTAATCAGTTAATAAGTTATAACTATCAACTGTTCAGGGGTCTGTTTAGAAGAAATTTGGGTCCGTTAACGGACCCTTCACGAAATATCTTTTCATAAAAACGGACCCTTCACAAAATATTTTAACTTAAAAACGGACCCTTCACAAAATGATTTTTCTTTTAATCGGACCCTTCACAAATTTTTTTATCTTCATTATTATTTTATTAATCGAATAAATCCTTTCCAGGGCAGAAAACAAGAAAGATGGACGTAAACGAATTTAGTTTTGTCTTCGACAGACGATTCTTCCATTATTCGTTCGAAATGAATATTCTGCGTTCAGCAGTATAGGCTAAATACCAAATATTTGTATGTTGCATCTCTAATTTAGAGGCAGCAATTGTTGTTTATTTTTTAAAATTTAATTTTTTTAATTATAATTTTACAGTGATGAGCATAATCTTGTATGTCTTTACAATTTAAAAACTCCTTGAAAAAGTTTTTTTTTTTTTTTTTTGCAATAACGGACCCTATTTGCACAAATTCATAAAAGCGGACCCTAGTTGAAAGAATGTGACTAATTTTTTCACAATTTCGCGAAAAACGGACCTTTCACAAAATGTCTAGACAGACTCCTGCTGTTATAAAATTTTGTTGTTAGCAGTGAATATTCTTTGTCTAATAAAGTGATGTATAATATTATTACTAGGTGTAGAATTCAGTATAGTAGGTGTTTTTTATACTTTTTTTACTATACTTTTTGTTTATTATACTACCCAAGTTTCTCTAAGAGTTTTTACTGTACTTAGTTCGCGATAGAATTAAATATTGTAAAAACTCCTTGAAATGGTGCTTTTTTTGTATTTTGTTAACGTTATATGTATTATTGTACTGCTGATTACGATTAGTCTGGAAAGTTGGTCCCTCTGTGGGTGTAACAAAATTTTTAATATATTTTCTCATTTCTAGTCCATTTAGAAAGCGTGGCTTTTCAAAATTTTTTTCCTTCAATTTAATTTTGTTAACTCATTCTAGTTTCCTCGCTTGATCAAGTCTGTGACGGCTGGGAAAATACATTTTCTGTATAGAATATTTTACTAGACCAACATTCCTTGACTTAAATTTTGTTTTATGGAACAATGCATTTTGTCTCAAAATTTCCTGTCTGCGATTGTAGGAAGCATTTACGACTGATTTTCTTTACACCAACAGAAATTCTTCCCACTTGTTTCTGAAAACCATTGTAAAATTATTTTCCCTCTTTTTCAGTTTTATCAGTATCAAAACAAATATTAGATATAAAGGCTTTGTTTACTTTTCACTTAAAAGGAGATAAAGACTTCCTATTTGCTTGTCGATCAGCTTTTTATTGTGTAACGTCTATTTTTTTATTTTTTTATCTTTTATACAATTGAATTTGTTCCTTGCGAGACTATTGTAAAAGTAGTTGATTAAGCTGTTTTAGGCTGTTCTTCAAAGGTTCTATTCCATGGACCAGTAGTCGAAAAGTTTTCGATACTCCTGCTCCAGCTCCGCTTCCTGATAATAAGCTCCACTAATGCATCAGCTCCAGCGATTTTACATTTGTGCTCTATATTTCCATGTGCTCTTTTGAGTTAGAATTTAATTTAAATTTTTTTTTAAAAGATGAACATTAAAAAATATTTAAATAATCATCAATTCACACAGAAAATAATTAATTTTATCATAAATTTAATTCACAGTTGAGTTATATGTTCATTCTTAAGAAAACAAAATTGAATCTAATAAACACAGAGATGCAAACTGCTCCGGATTCGACAAAATATTTAAAAAAAATCTATACTTAATGCATGCGTAATATGCATACTAAATGCATACTACGTACTTAAATTTGCTGAGTTTTGGTTATTTTTACCAAAAAAGCCTCAACGCGGCTTAACTACAACAAAGTGGTAAGTAAAAACCCTATCAATCGAATTTACCGTGCGCAGTTCCGCACACGCGTCTTCTGGTTGACGGCTGTGTGGTTTCCTTGACCGAGGGGACTGGGTCCTTCGGACCTCCGGAATGTTGGGGATGCTGAGATACTACGCAGTGGTCACGAAAAGTCGTAAGCCTGCTACTTGGGTCGGCTGGCCACCTGCGGTGACCAAACCAAGAATCCTACATTAAAAGACTCCACTGTCCGGTGCAAGTTGGCAAAATCTCCTGTATTCGAACTTAAATCATTCCAAATGTATTTTAATGCCGAGTAGTCTTTCTACAGTAACAAGGATAACAGGCAATATCATTATAAAGTTGCACACCTCTTGAATGTTTGTAGGACTCAATGAAATTGCTGGTGCCCTGAAGCACGCGAAAGTTTAGAACTCATGGTAAAATTCAGTTCCGGAGTGTTCCAGATCCCGGTTTCGGCTCCGGATAGAGACATTACTCTTGAATTATTCTTTGATGAATGAAAAATATGTATGGAATATCTCTTTTTAGCGAATGATATATTTTGTAGACCTAGTGAATTTCAATTTTAGTCAGTAGCCAGCTACCGGTAGACTTTAATAACTTAATAACCACTTTTTCCTCTAATGAGTCGGTGACCGATATCGATAGGTCCTTTTCATTTAATAGCCACTTTTTTTTTGTTGCTTGGATTAAATATTTTTTTTAAAAAGCAAATTCAAATTAGAAATAATTTACTTAGGAAAACAATTTTTAGAGGTAGTTACACAGAAATTAACTTATCGACATTTGTTGAATTTTTGTTACCACTTTTTAAAATATATAAGACCAGCGGGGAACCCTGCAATATAACTTTTAAATCTATTTTTAGTTGTTCTCTGCCTCTATGTCTTGTCTCTAGCGTGAATTGGGAAAAATGGTGTTTGCATTAAAATTTTAATTTTGTCTCCAAAAGCAGATTTTTTTCTTTCTAATATTACGAGTGAAATTATGATTAAGTTATTGATTGAATAAATATTTTTTTGTTATTCTACATGTATTTAATAATGTATAATTTAATGAAAGAATGTCTGTAAAAGTAAGCAAGTGAATGGTATCGTTGAGAATATGAAATTCCTCTCTGAAATTCTCTAACTGCAGGATCAAAAACTTCTTGGATTCTCTCTGGATTAAAGTTAATGATTATGTCTCGATTAATGTTATATGTTGTTCATGTAGTTTGCTTTTTTACATTGTTCTGATGTGATACAATTAAAAATAAATGAAATGATAATTTAAGCAATCAAACATTTTAATTTTTTTTTATGATTAGGAAGTTCAGTATTTTGTTAAGATTTTGAATTGAATAAATTGTTTTTCTAAGTGATTAAAAAATCTTTTTGTTTTCTTAGATTATGCCAGAAATTCAAAAGTGCTTTGTAGAAGTTGAACAAAGTAAGTTTTTTTCATGCTTAATTTTTCTTAATAATTAATTTATTAATTCTGAATAATAATATGGTTCTCACCATCCTCACTCTTTCTACTTTCTTTTTTAAAGAAAAAAAATTAAATTAAAAATAATTATTAATTTAAAAAAAAACTTATACATTTTGAGTAGACATTATGGTGAGCTGATAATTTTTTTCTGAATTTTTATTATTTTAGTCTTTTTACTTATTATTTTAGCCTTAACAAATGGGTGTTATATATTTTTTTCTTCCAGAAGGCAATGCATTTATTTACGGATTATGATAATTCTTCATTCAGTGATTTCTTTAGCTGTGTACATTTATATATATTTTTTTCCTTAGTGATTCGAGAAATAAGTATGCCTTTGTATCGAATGCCTTAAAATTTCTTTAGTTGTAGAAATTAAAGTAAATAATGAATAAAATACAGCTTATAAAGCTAACAAACAACTTGTAAAATTAAAGTTAATTTATGATCATTCTATAACGATATTTTAAAGAATTCAAAGTAATTTTCTGTGTATGTATTTAAAGTAATTTTGTGTATGTATTTAAAGTAATTTTGTGTATGTATTTCCTAAAAAATTATTTCTAAAATTATCTAAGAAATGATTATAAACACAGCCGATTTAATATTTTTGTTTTGTATTGTTTGTTTTTACCACATGTTAAAATTAATAGCGGGAAGACATTTTTTTTGTATGCAGTTAATAATTATAAAATTTAATTAATCCTAATCTATTAATTAAAATTTGTAACGATATTTTTCTACCTTGTTTAATGCTGATGGAATGATTTTTTTTGTTAATTTTTAAGGTGTAAAAATTTTACATTACATGCAAATTATTTCTGGTAAAATCTAACTTTTGACATAAATTGATTGAATAATTTCCGAGAAAAAGTTGTTAAATAACTTGATAAAAATCTTTTTTTAAAACTTATTTTTTTAAAAAAGAATCTAAAATAATTTTTTTTTTTTTTAAATCATCATTACATCTCTGGTCAATTACAAAATTCCAATTTTCGCGAGAAAATGTACGTAATTTAATAGGATATAAACCCATTTATGCATTTAATTACAACAAATGAATGTTTTATCGTTATTTTAACTCCTCAGTGTTATATTTCTCTTACATAGATGGACTGAAAGAAATAAGCAATTCCAATGTTTGCCATCATTTTCTGCGTTATCTTAATGTCTGATTATTTTACCCAGATAGGACTGACAATCTTGACTGCTAACTTTTAGCCATCTTTAGATCATCCCCCTAAACTTGAATTACGGTTAGAAACCTAAAACCAGAAGGGAAACCCTGCTAGTTTTTCCCAGAAAGACATCGTCTGGGATGCACTTTTCAAATGTATCTTTACTGCCGTTCCATTTTCATTTCTGTTTATTTTCTTCGTCTGTCTTTATTTTCTTTTTTCGGAGGGCACTAAAACTGCTTTTAAGTCAATTTTCTTCTACTAGTCAGTCAGCCATGCGTATTGCAGAAGTCGCTGACATTTGCATCAAAGTCGACGTGATATGAATGTGCAATCTGTGATGATGAGAGAGTTTTTGTGGAAAAAAGGAACCGATTGAAGTTTGAGATTAGTCTTTTCGAGATATAATGCGAAGATAAATATGGCAATTTGAAGCATGTCTTTGAATATGTCGATCAGGTATGACATAAACCTCATAGATATAGTGTAATACTTTTTTCATAAAAAGAATTATCAAGGTTTGTTATTTTTATCAATTTTATTTTTATCAAATAAGTTTTAGCTGTTTTGCTTCGTGTATAAGCATGTTTAAGTTGTCTCTTTCCTAACTTTAATAAGGAAATGTGTTTTCCTTTTTTTTTTCTTTAATTATACTGATATTGGTTCAAAAGCTATAGAATATTTTTATATGCTAAAAATTCTCAAAGGCTTGTCTTTAGCTATACGAGCTTCCTCCAGTGTAATTTTTCTTCCCCTTTTACGTCTGATTTAGTTTACATCGCCGATTTATCAGTTTATCTAGATTGTGTAATGTCGTATGTTTGGCACATTATGGTCGCGAATGTCAAAATCAAAATATAAACTTTTTATTTAACTAAACTATGCGCGAAAATCAATTTTTAAAAAAAATCGCCTTTGCCTATTAAGAATGACATAAACATCATAGATATAAATATGGCAATACTTTTTTGATAAGGATTATCAAGATTGGCAATATTTGTATCAATTCTATTTTCATCGATTAAGTTTTTATCTTATTTATTTTTTATCTTATTTACAAAGCGTGTAACATTTTGATTCATCATATAAACATATGATTAATCTCAAATGGAATAATTATACGTTTTCAAAAATTTGGATTCGCTAATAGTTTCAAGTTAAAAATCTAGCGTTGTTTGGAAATTTCTCAACGAAAAGTGTTTACTCCAATTGAATTACTAATGTTTTATATATTTCTTTAGAACCCTTGCTAATAGCAGAAAAATAAAATAAGTGAAAAATATACCTTACAGTGTTAATAAAAAAAATGATGTGTTTACGCACCGTTGACCGAAAATCAGTTAGTACGAGAAGTTTTTTTTTTCTTTTTAGATATTATTCAACAAAATTGGCGGAATAGTTTTTTATGCTGAAATTTTTAAGATTTGTATTTGTATTTATAGTGTAGGCTCTATTTGCTGACATTTTTCCTTCCCCCTCCCCTATGCCTGACTTTGTTTACAACATTCAACTTACGTATAGTGCAGTGCATAATGTTTTATGTTAGGCACACAGCGCATTTCGATTTCAGACATTGTGCCATTAAACTCTACATTCAAGTCTACATACATTTAAAAATACTAAAATCTAATTATTTTTTTTATTCTTAAAAATTGTTTCAATCCCTAAGAACACGTATTCATAAAAATATATATATATATTTTAATAAGCTATATTTTTGAATTTGATCTTTGATTTTTCCTCTTTCTCTTATTTTATTTATTTATTATTTTTTTTTCACCATTTGATTTTAATCAAATAAATCATGCCCACCTACAAAATTTCAAAAATATGGATTTAAAGAACTTCCGAGAAATGAAAACTTAAAATTTGAATTTTTATTAATATTTATCACTTTTCTTTGTAAATATTCAACCAGCTAATATTTTTTAAAAAAAATATGATTTTGTCATTTAAAATTAAGTAGTTTCGTTTGATTTAAATCAATTTTTTACTTCTAACTTAGATTTTTTTAAATTTAAATAAAGCAGTACATATATTTTTTGCACAGAATTTTTTGCTGACAAACTAGCTGCCGAAGGCATCTAGTTTAAAATATATTTTTAACTAAATTTAAAATTTAAGTTTAAAATATTTTTTAAACTAGATCCCTTCGTCATTAGTTTAAAAAACATTTTAATAAATGTTTCTATTTATGAATTCTTTTGTTTAGTTTTGTAATTCATGCTAAAACATTTTTAGTTAGCACAAAAATATGCATAACTTTATAAAGTTGACATAGTTACACAGTGTAAACCTAATGATAGTGGATCTAATTAATGAAGTATTAAACAAAATAGTATGTAAGTATACGATTTTTTAATAAAAAAAAACAAAAAAAAAACAAGTAGTGAAAATTACTGGCAATCAAAGAGGTTATTAGCGACAATTTGAAAACTATTTTTTTTTCCTTCATTTGTTTTTATACATTCTGTAAGAGGGCAAGATATTGAATCTGTCTGTGGTGAATGTTATTCTTTTGCTTTTTTTAAAATTTGTTTTGTAGTTCAACATATTAATAAATTTGCTCATTAAATCGAATCCGATATGTCTATTGCATCGGTTCCCAAACGGTGTTTCGTGGAACACGGAAGGGGGGGGGGTTCTGTGAAAGGCTCGCAGGGGTTCCCAAAGTAAAGAATTTTTTTTAGCTAGCTATAATTCTCGAAACCTACAATTAGGTTTTTTAAATGTCCTATTTTAACCCAATTTTAGGACTAATTTTGATAAAATCATAAAAATTTCATTTTTCATTTAATCACTAAATACTTTCAAAATAATTAATAAAATTTAGATCAGTACATGTTTTCAAAATAATTTGTCTTTCATTAATTAATGTATTCACAATTGTAAAAACGGCCGATCATTTAGGGTTCTACAAAAAATAAATAAACAAATAAAATAAAATAAATGAAATGAAATGAATTGAATTGCTGGTCTAGTGTATCGAAAAAAAAAGCTGTTCCACTGTTACTATATTATATTATAATTCGGCTAAGGGAAAAAAAGTGTGTAAAATTGAAAATTTGCACCCAACCTATGTAGACAACTCTTTGACTTCTTGACCCAAGGTGGGGCGTAAAATTTCTAACGGAAATAGCTTTCAGAAACATGACCTGAAAAGGGTGTATTGATGTGATGTATGACTCTGAACGGTTCCAGACACGGTAGAAATTCGAGAACTTGTCGGCAATATTCTCTCCTGAGGCTTATCTTTTTCCTCTACGTCCTCTGATCCTGTTTAAATAGTACATATTTCAGCACTTTTTCATGCCCCATTCTATGAAATTCGATGTTAATTCAATCTTGGAAAATCTGAAATCTTTCTTGTGAATCTTAAATCTTGAAGCCCAAGTTAAGTATCTGTTTCTCGAGAAAAGTCATTGTGTATGCTAAAGCTCTATATAAAGTAGTAAGTCTCCTTATTGACAATTTTTTAAAAAAAGTAATTGGTAAAAACAGTCTTATAATATTTTAAAATTAAATCTGAAACTAGATGAGTTACATGATTCAGCATTATTTGTCCTACTGTTACAGGACAGTGTCTTATTTATTTTAATATTGAGTTTAAAAATCTTTATTCTGTTTTTTCTTTAACGAAAATATCTAGATTTTACCGGTGTTAACTTTTTGACGTCAAAAACGTTAACGTGACTAAATGTTGAAAAATGTAAAAAAAAAAAAAAAAAAAAAATTTATGAAAAATATCGTTTATTTAAACAGCCATGCGAGATTGAACAACATACTTTAAATTTAAATCATTTTAGTTTGAATTCATAAATTATGCTACTTACAAATGATCAAATATACTTTCTTTGATTTTTATGGAAACCTTTATATAGCTTTAAGGGAAAAAGAATATGGTAAATTTTAAAATTAAGATATAGCTAAAAATTTGCCCTAAAATTCTATTGGAAAAAAAAAAAAAAAAAAAACTGTGATAATAAATAAAAGTGAGTTGAAATGAAACATTGCCTATACACGAATTGTTAGAAACTTTTCGGTAGTTTAATAAAATAAAGTAGTAATAGTAATATTAATTGCTTTTTATAAGTGGTCTCTTTTTTTTTAAAAAAAAAAAAAATTAATTTCTATTGATATATTTCTATTATCTGTGTATACTTAAAGAGATTAATAGAACTAAAATAAAGCCGTTTTGAACATGGCACACATGCACAATAAGAATTTAACACATTGATCATAAGAATTTAACACAAAATTATTTCAACACATTGTAATTTCGAATTTGAGGATTGTGCTAACGTGAATTTTGTTTTTAAAATTGAAAATTTCTTTTTTGAATAATTAATGCATTTTACTACGAACAAAATATTTAAAAAAAAAAAGTTAGAAATGTAAAGTTGAAAACTAGAAAAGTTTTATTATTTTAAGTAAATATTAGATAAAATTTAGGAACATCAGAAAATTAGTAATGAAATGTGAGCTGTTGGTAAAAACTGTGCAATCTTTTCACGTTGCTAAGAAGTTGTTTAATGGTGTCACAATTTAAATCATAGTTAAATTGCACAGACTTTAACTTGCAACAAACCATCGAATAAATAGTGCTACTATTCGTACAGTGAGGGGAAAAATTATCTTAACTAACTCCCAGTCGCAGAATTTTTTCTTCCAGCTTTCTACGACAAACCTCTCTAATACTAATATCTTTCCTGGGAGATACTTTTAATAATAATAAATATACATGTTATTAATTTAAAGTAACAGAAGCGTCAACATCAAGAGAAAAAAAAAAACTTTTCGGAAAAAATAATGTAATTTTTTGAATTGAATTTGTTATATTTTTTTATTTCAATATTATAAGCGATTTCTCGCATTTTACAGGGGAAAAGCACACAAATTATTTCCTTTTTCTTTTTTTGTGAGTCAACATCAAATTTAAATACAAATTAAAAATTGTGAAATCTATAACAGTAACTACCAAAAAATGTTATACGGCGAAATTACGCGAATCGAACTCTTTAAAGAGGGGGTTACAAATGCTTGTTTTCATTTCAAGATACAGCTGTTGTAATAAATAATATCAGAATAAAAATATCGAATTTTAAAAACTGTGTGAAAATCAATAGCAATAACTGCCAAAACGATGCGCGAGAATGGTATCTTTTGAATATAATTCTGAAGAAAAGTAAAATCTTTCGAAAATTTCTGTAGAAAAGAAAACCAAAATTTTTGAATTCCCAAAGGGAAAAATCTTTCTGCAAGAACTCAGTAACGTTTTGTGACAATTCTGCCACGGGGAACTAGCCTATGTTCTAATGTTAAGTTTTTCATGAACTAAGTTTTAATTTTAATGATTTAAAGGGTAGACCTTAAATATGCTGATCAAATTGATATTAAAAAGGTTTCGGAATAAGCACAATAACGTACTTTCTCTGAATGAACAAAACTTTTTTCTCTCGATGTATTTTGATTTCTGTCCATTAAAATATGGGGGTAGGCGCATTCTTGAAAATATATTTCCTATAGTTTAGTCAGATGAGCTATCGAAAGTTTAGAACCCCAGAGGTGATTGCGCTCCTGAAGTTTCCGGAAATCCTATGTTCAGAAGTTTCAAGAAATCATAGATCACATTTATGTATAAAAATTCTTGTATATTTTATTTAAAAACATTAGAACTAGAATTTATACTTTGCATCTTTCAATTGTAAATATTTTTTCTGATAGAATACTAAATGTGATTGAAGATAAAAGTAAACTAATACATAATTATTCATTTAAATTATGCTGTATATAATTTATTTAGAATTTAATGTTCTGAAAATATCAGATTTAAATTTATAAAGACATTAATTTTTTGAAATGCGCCATTAATGATTTTGCTCAACAAATTTTCAGGATTTTTGAGTTGGACTCACAATCTCCCCTGGACCCCTTAATGTCAATTTCATTTTGTGCGTATTTCGCTTAACTCTGGAAGTTTTTTTTCAGCGAAAATTTTTTTGTATACAATTATAAAATTTACATATTTCAAGGTAATATCATGTTAAAAAAATTTTTCAATAACAATTTATTATTTTAACTTAAAAATAATAAATATCAAAAAATATCTAACATGCATGAAGCAAATGTATAACATATATTGTAAAAGTTACTTCAAGCGATATCTTTGCTTCGTTTGATTTTGCATTTTGCTAAAATTCTTTTATTGCATTATCTTTCTTTTCTAATATTTCTATTTACGTTTTTTTTTTAAAAGCATTTTCCTAATTTATCAACACAAATCTATGACCTGATCCATGTATGTAGTACATCGAAAAGAAAAATTTTGAAACAAAATACTAGTGCATAAAATTTTCTCTGCAACTAATATATTTTTTTTTATCCATTCATTTATTTTTTTATTTATGTGATGGTTTAATTATATAAAATACTAATGGTGTTTTTATTTTATTTACAGTGCTTCCTCTCATCTCCAACATCAGGGTAACATAAATTACCACATGTTTTTATCTCAGTCCATATTAGTGTATTCATAGAAAAGATCATGTCAAGAAAGTGTCATTTTTGTATTCATCAGGATGGAGCTTAAAGTATGGGTTGATGGAATACAGAGGGTTGTTTGCGGAGTCACAGATTCTTCTACGTGCCAAGATGTTGTTTATGCCTTGGCTCATGCCACAGGCCAAACAGGTCGCTTTACTTTGGTGGAAAAGTGGAGGAATAGTGAACGTCTGCTTGCACCCCATGAACAACCTTTGAAAGTCCTAACAAAATGGGGTGAATATGCGAATGATGTGCATTTTGTGATGCGAAAATCTTCTAATGAAGGAAAGCAATTATCCTCTAGTAATAATCAGACTCAAAACAATAAAAGGCAGCATGATTTCCTTCGTAGCTTCTCACCTAGCAGTGGTAATGGTAACAATAAACAAAAAATTCCCTTAAACAATAAAGAAATTAAAAAATCTCTGACTTTTAGTTGTGGCCATGGGAGTAGTGGTAGTGTCAGCAGTGAAAATTCCACACCACCCATCATCACTGAATGTGCTCAATCGAACTGTGAGACCTCAACTAATCGGAATGCCAAAAACAGGGAAAGTCGTTCAAAGCAAGACCTTCCCAAGGGAGTCGTGAGAGGGATACCCCAAAAACCTAGAGATAGTGAGAGTCCGAATTCAATTGATTCGAAAATCGAAAGGCCAAAATATCCTCCATCCTATGATGAGGCTGTTTCCCGTTCCAGTGTTCGTTTTCCATCTAGTCATTTAACTTTTGCTGCTCCATCAACTTCACAAGATGATGAGTCTCCTTCTAGTAAGAGACCACATCTTGCCAACAGAACTGACCAATTCACGCCAATAGATAGGGGATCTCCTACAAGTCAATCGCAGATCCCTAGGCAAACGAACAATTACAGAAGTCCTCTAAAAGTTGAACAAAGTCTCGACTTTATTGCAAAGAGTCCTGACCGCACATCTGCTGCGAATGAACGATTGAGTTTGTCGCCAAGTAGAGCCAAATCTCCTAGTAAATCGCCTGACAAAATTATACAAACTAATCATATTGATGACTCATTAAAGTCTAAGAAAGTCACTCCTTCTAAAGTGGAGAATGAAAAACGAATATCCTTAGAAAACAAAAATACTCCTAGAAAAACTTCTTCTCAATCAGATGATACTAATCGTGATCCTCAATATCAAGATTTACTTCGTCTTGTGTCACTTCAGAGAGAAAAACTTGATAATCAACAATCGGAAATAACACAATTTGATGCAGGTATATATAATTATGATTTTGGAAGTGTTTCTACTTTTGTGATAGTTATTGTTTTTTTTTTATATACATGTTCACTCATGCACTCAGATATTTTTAATTACTTGTTTTGTTAATTCCAATGCCCAGCTGGGGAATGGCCTACGTCATACAGGCATCTGTAGGGCAGATTTGTTTTGATAATGCATATTTTGCAATTAAGTGAACATTTATGGATAGTATTAGGATTAATTGTAAAATTTGAAGATTATAAAAAAAGATTAATACATTTTGGAAGCCAAATACATTCATTATACAGGGCTGATTGTGCTCCGGAAAAAATACGGATTTCCGGATTTTTCGCTAACAGTGATCCGGAAGTTTTTGGAGATCGAAGGTCCAGACGTTTCAAAAAAATCATTAATCACAGAAGTTTCCGGAAATCAAATTTTCAAAGGTGGAACTTAAAAACACAGTTTATTTTATTTGTTTGTAAAGGAGAGCCATAGAGTTACTTTATAAGCTTATATTCATGATTAATATTCATTTTTTATCAGTAAATTGTTGTTATAGTCATAAACACAAGAAAGAAAGACATATTTGTAAATTTTAATCACTTCTCCAGGTCATTATAGGTATGTGTAAATGGTATAGGTATGTGTAAAATTTTAAATATATTTTAAGTAAACTAAGAAATATTGAGAAAAAGGAAGAAAAAAAAACCTTGTGTAAATTTTTTTTCTAATTATTCAATTTAAACTGTTTTTTTTTTTTTTTTTTTTTAAAAAAAACTCAAAAAATTTTTCCGGAATTTTAACTTGAGCTCACAATCACCCCTGATTATACTACATTGTAACTTTGTCCATACTTTTTGATTATGATCAGAAGTTTATTTTTTAAAAGTATTTTCTGTTTTCAGTTTATATTGTAGCATTGCAGTGAATGTCTGTGTCAAAGTGTTAAAAATCTTATCGTTTTTCTTAAATAATAGTATTTTTTTTAAAAAAGAATTAGATTTTTGATAAAATTAGAAGTATTCAGTTGTGATTCTTTTTCAAAGTATAGGAAATGGATGTTAACTATTTAATGTTTATAAATTATTAATTCTTTATTAAATTAATTTTGAAAGCATAATTTATACTTAAGTTTAAATGAATATAATGCATTTGAACTATAATTTATGAATTAATGGATGAAAGGAGGAAAAGGCAATAATTGTATGATTCTCAATTGCAGCAGCAATGACTAAATTGTTTCACTGTTTTTTTGTTCTTCCACTATTAATTCAGTTAAAGATTTTATTAACTATACATAGAGTAACTAGTAGTAACTAGTAACACACAAGAACAGAAAATAACATTACTAACAGTACATAACATTACTAATTGTTGACATTTAAAGTTGGACATTATTTTCACATTCTATGTATTGTCAAGGAGAAAAAAACATTTTATACGAATTGGCTAAATTTGGCTAAAATACGAATTTTATAATTTTAGAATGAACCTAATTTTGTTTAATATTTATCTATTTAAATACATTAAACATTGCCTTAACCTTTTGATTTGACTTTAATGATAAGTGAATAATATATATAAAAATTTTTTTCCAAGTGATTTAAATGTGATTTAAAGCACTGTCAATGGTTTAAAAATATTTTAAAAGCAAACAACACTTGTGTGAAAATAAATTACTGCTGTTAAAACTAGAATTGAGAAGCTTTACAGAAGACATGTTAAGTAATAATTCAGCAATACCGAAGAAGCCAACTTAATAATAGTATTTAGATACAGGAGATTACTCTTTTACTTAACAAAATTTTTTGTTATTGAAAATACCTGAGTAAAAGACTTGACCAAACAAATGTATTTCCTGTTATAGCAAATCATAAAATGTTCTTAATATTGAAAATAGTATTTTGCAAAATGCAAATTAACCTGTTTCTGAGCTAAGCGCTTCCTACATTCTTTCAATTACATTTTTTAAAATTAAAAAAAGAAAATCTGCTATTGAAAATTTTTAATAAATTTTAGTATTAAAATGAGCATTATATTGCAAGGTAGAAAACAAACAAAAAGAAAAGTTTTGAAAATAAATTTTGTGTATGGTATAATAATATGTGTTGATGTGTCTTACAATATATATGTGGATGTTTTATTGTAAAAATGGGTAAAAAACTACTCATAAACGTGTATTAACAAACATATATTAATTCTATTTTAAGCATCATTTTGAAAAAATTCTTCGCTAAATTTTTTAAAAAAAATATTGAAATATTAAGAATGCCTCAACTTAATAAATTTTTCCAAAATATTCATTTTTTTAAAAATTGTTTTATTTTCAGAAGTTATTTACTGGGAAGGTAAATTACAAGAACAGGAAGAGAAATTGAGCCTCTTACAGGAGGAGGTGTGCCATTTGGAAAGAACCCATCATGAACAAGAGGGAGAACTTATTCAGTTGGATCGTAGATCTTTCAGTGAAGAAGTTGACTTAGGGCGTCAAGAAGAACGCACATTGAGGTATAAATAAATGATTATTCTCAAGGAATTCAATATTCATATTGATAATTTCAAAGTTATATTTTGTCATCATCAATATGTTAATTAAATTTATATATTAAGTGCAAATTGTGAGCCAAGTAATTAACTGTTTAAAATATGCTTTGTTGAACATTTTAAAGTGAGTTATTATATATATGTATGTGTGTATGTATCTATATATGTGTTTATGCATCTATGTATATGTATGTGTGTATGTATACAGTCAAACTGTGATCCATTGTTCCCAAATCTTCCCTTTTTCCATATGCATAGTCTTGTTTTAACGGTGCTGTCAAAAATGGTATTCTTATAATTTTATAAAACCTGTTTAGATCTTTTTTAAACTAGCAGATTCTCGTTTCTATTCAGAAATTCTACCGACACATGAAAAGATATTAAAGTCAATTTGTTTTGAGAAGAAAAACTATCACTTCTTATGCTAATAATGAAGAAAATGATGATTTGTTACAGTTTGGTTTGATGTTTAAGTATCAATTGATAAAAATGTTGAAACTTGTGGTGTTATCGGTTCAAGAAATATTTGCAAAAGCGGAAGAAATGCCAACTGATTCCAATGAAGACCAAACTTAATGCAACCCATTAGAGCAAGCATTTGTGGAAGGTCTTAAAGCCTTTAAAACAATGAGGAATTTTTCGTATTCACAATACCTTTCTGAAAATGATCAGCAATCTGTAACAAATGTCAAAAATTTACTGTTTGCGTTAAGAAGAAAGAGAACCAAGATTTCCAAATATTTTAAATAAAAAATATATTTATTTATTCTTTTATATCGTAAGTATTTTTGCAGGAGTTTATAAATTTTTTCAGCTAAAATTTTTATAGTTGTTATATAGTAAGTTATATACTAAAAGGTAACCGAAATATAAAAAAACAATTTATGACTTTTTGATTACATATAGGTAAAATAACAGATTTCAAAAATGGTTAAACTCTCAGAATCCTTTTAACTCTTCCGCGGAGCTCTGGGGTTCCGAGAAACACCATTTGGGAACCACTGCTCTACAGTTATAAATCAGAGTTAAATACTCTTCTGTTTTATTAATATTGTTTCAGGATGCTCAAATATTGCTTAATGAACAGTATAGAAAAAATATTCCAATTTGTTATACATTAAGAAAAATACCATAAGTTTAAAAGAAACATTTTTCTATAAGAGTATTATAAATAAAAATAATCTTTAACTGTCACAACACCTCTGAATTAAAACCATGAATTTAATGTGGAATTCCTTTTTGTCCCAGATACACATGTACTTAACAATGGTGTGCATACTTTTTGCTTTTCTCGCTTTTCTTCAGCTGCATGAATTGCTTTTCATTAAATTTTGCATTAACATTTTGAGGAATATTATCCTCTTTATTATATATAAAAGTTGAGTAATGTGTTCATTTTAGGTCTGAGCTCACTTTAGCCCGCTCTCAGCTGGCCAACTGTGAGACTGAACTTCTGCAGTGTAGACAGAGAATTCGGCTTCTGTTAGAAGAAATTGCAGAAGAAAGACGTGTTAAATCTATTAGAGAGGAACAAGACAAAAAAGAGCACGAAGAACAAGAAAGACACCTGCAAACTCAAATAGAATGCGTTCAAAAGCAGCTTAATGATAAAGTTGAAGAATCTGATGCTCAGGTATAACTTCATGCACTTAAGTAATAAAATGTATTACTAATACTGGTTTATTTACAGCAAATTTTTTAAAATACATTATTGCTTTTATACATCGTATTATACGTTTTGTTACATTAATGTATTTTGTTGTACAAGGTGTGCTTGAAAAGTTTGGTGATTAGTTGCTTACAATACACTTTCAATGTTAGTAAAGCTGAACTGAGTTTTTAAGTCTTTGTGATCGATTGAAGTAGAGTTGTCCATGGTGCGTAGCGTTTTTAAAAAGTGCTTAAAGGTGCTTAATTTCGATTTTTAAAAGCACTTAAAGGTGATTTTTCATTGTGTGTTTTTAAAAACTGTTTAATTTTCCCTTTTCAAAAGTGAAATATTTTTTTTTACCATGTTGATTCTTACCACGCTTTATGCAAAAGCGTGCTTTTCACATTGTTCTATTCAACGTTTTCGCAATTCATTCAACCACAATCTATTTCGGCGTAGGAAAGCGCAGATCATTTTGCATGTTTAATGAAATACTTGCGAATCTGCGTGTGTACTGAGCTGGGTTCGGTGAGATTATTGCACTCTCGTGTGCAACTCTGCTGCATTTTGTAAGATATTCTAAATTTCAGGCTTCAGTTTCCACCCTCTGATATCGAATCGAAAAATCTCTTGATCATTTTATAATGGCTAATATAATTAAGAAAAGAGTTCTTTGTTAGAAACTAGTTATTTTATCATGTTCATGTAAAGTCTTTGAAAATTATTTTGCATTCTGTTAATGTATATAGTGCTTAAAAATATTTTGTGTGCTTAAAAAGTACTTAAAAGGTGCTTATTTTTTGTTGAGAGATTTGGCTACTGTCGTCACACATTGTTACTGAATGTATTACAAAATGGGAAATGTTCTTGCATTTACACAAATCTATGAATAATCTGTTATTGTTAATTCTCATATTCTCAGGAATCCATTAGGGATCACTTAGAAGCATCATTTTGACCCATTTATTATTATTGTTGATTGTCAGTTGTCGCATTCATGAAGTTTTGGATTTGGATGAATTCTTTCATTCCAAAAAAATATTGAACCAGTTTAATAAATGCATTTGCTTCTCTTGTCATAAATCAATTTCATATATCCGGGCCAACATTGCACTTGCTTCTACGGTTCTATTTTTTACAGCACTCTTTATTTATCTATGATGTCTCCATTTAAATTTGACGTCTTATTTCGCAAACATGCTGCTCATTTGGCTGCAACAGAATGATTTATATAAATATTAGCTAACTGCAGTTTTTGAATTTTGTACACATGGTTTGTTTTTAAATTATGTTATTTTGAAGTATTTATTCAGTAAAAAAACCCTTTTAAACACATCTTGTATGAAAATTAGAGATTAGGAAGTTAAGGACTGTGAAAGGGTAGCAGTCATGGTGAGTGTTGTTAGGCCACGCAGATAGCAGTTGGAAGGCAAAGAATGTTTTATTAGCTTCACATAGTATATTCAAGACATTTTCTATCAAAGGCGGAGCTCAAATTCGCACTCCAAAACTGTGTGCTTAAGTTTTTATCCTTGGGAAAGTAGCAAATTAATTTCCCTCTATTTTGTTATATTTTCGGGAAAAAGGGAAATCTTAGAAATAACTATTGGTTTAAGAAAAAGGTCGCTCGATTCTCACAAAGAGAAAAGGGGAAAAAGTCTTTACGTTTAATTATGCATACTTGTGCCAAAAATAGATTTAAGAACAGGATATGGCTTTTTAAAAGTATGAGAAAGTGTTTTGATTTGAATAATTAAGACAAAGCCCACCTCAAACTTTCGAAAATTCAAGTTATCAAAAACTTGAAATGTAAGAAATATTTAAATAAATGGAAACAAAGCAATTTTTCAATTTCAGTCTTTAATTGAAAAATATATTATATTAGAAGAAAATTTACTTACATTAGATGTTCTGGGTACATTTGCTGCATTACACCAAGCTTTTGTATTCTAACTTTTAAACAAGTTATTTAATGCAGTAAAATGTATCAATATAAATTATTTGTTATGTTTAAAATGTGAAAGTTAATTCTAAAAGCTCTGGACCGCAAGTTGAGCTAAAAGTGATTTTTAATGTGAAACGAAATACTTTAAAATTAAAAATTTTTATGGTATACTTTTACTTATTCAGTGTTTCCTTGATAAAACTTTGTTCCATTTAAATTTTGTTGTAATTCAGTTTTTAACTTTTATTGGTATTTAAAGGATTTAATTTTTTTACTTTAATTTAGTTTTTAAATTCTGTGTATTGTACAATAAGAATCGCAGGTAAAATGGTCAAAAAGTTATATTTGACCTAAATACTTTATACTTAGAAATGTACAAAATAGGTTTAAAACGTTTTAATTTACCTCAATTTTTAAAGCAATTTAAAACTATTATTTAATCAAACAAAAATGTTATTTTTTAAAAAAAAATATGTATAACAAATATTTTTAATAAAAAAATGTACATATCTTAATAAAGCAAAGTCAAGTATGGCTGTTTTAAAAATAACATCCATTTTAAGTTTTATATTTCACCCTATTTTATTTTTTTAGAGTGTTTTTATCTTTTAAAAGAATTTTAGGTTTCATTTTATTTTTCAGTTTACTTGGTACTATTTTCAAAACCATCTAAAAAATATGTATTGAAACAATGTAATAAAATAATTTTTAAAAAGTCGTGTTAAGTGCTCTAAAATATAGTAAAATTTCAACGAAGAGTTTTTACCTCTTAATAAAACAAAGTAGTGATACTAGAAAAGTATAACCTAAAATGTTTTTTTCTGAAGTCTTCAGCTTTTCGTTTCAATATGATTTTTTATTTATTTTTAAATTGATTAAAAGTAAAGCCATTTATTAATAAACTGGTACAACTAAGGTGCTACTTTTTAAAATTATTGCTTCCTACATGGAAAGTAAAAAATTTTCTTATTTTAATTATTAAATCTTTTTTCAAATTCATGTTCTTTAATAATTTCTTTCCTTTAGAAGAATACTACAGAGCAAGTTAAAGAAGAGTTGCAAATGCTTGAGGCCAAATTAACTGATAAACAAAGAGAAATGGAAAAATTAATGGAAGAAATTCGAGATGCCAACCTCAGGTCACTATCATTGATACCTGCAGAAGAAGGAAAATTCATAGCTGAAGGTACTTAATATATTTTCTGAAATAGAATAATCAGATCTACTCTACCGTTAAAGTTTATGAACAGTTTTCTAAATAAGCAAATGGGGTTAAAAAACAAATATTTGTATTATAGTTTGTTATATAAAAGAATAAATCTTCGATTTGTTTGAAAGCAGCTTTATTTAGGAAATTTAGTATATATATATATATATATATACATACATACAGGGTATCCGCGCACTTGGAAAGTCACGAAAAATTATGGAAAGTCATGAATTTCGGTATTGAACAAAATTAGTCATGAAATATGATTTTAACTATTTTTTAAGAAAAATCATGGAAAGTTGTGGGTTTAGGTCGCCGAATTAGTCTAGCCCCCCCTCCAATTTTATTGTGCTCCGAATATCTGAATTTTTTAACAAAATCCCTACTCACATTCATATTTTATTAAAATATAAAATATTTTTATCACGTTTTTTTAAAAATTATTATGTTTTTTCAGAAACTGAAAGAAAAAACATCATTTCTAGAGCAAATTATCTTTTAAACTTCTGTGATTTCAGAATTTGTATTTTTTGATTTTATCAATTTAAAATTCTGGCTAAAGCAAGCCAGTCATTGGCAAATTTTTTTAAAATTCCAAAATGAACAGAAAAATCAGGAGTATTTCTTTCCTTTTGGGTGAACAAGAAGAGTATCCTTAGGATATAATTCTGCAGAAGAAACGAAAATAAATGATTTGCTTTTGTATTTTTTCAGCTATTTTATTGCTTCAACACTTTCTTTACTCTGTTATTTAAATTTAAAGTCTTTAAATATCAAAAGGCAGAGTATAACAGTTCTGGTTATACTTATCATTTCAATTAATGTTAATTAATGCTTTTTTAAATTTATTGTTGTGTTTTTGTCGCAGAAAATAGTAACTTCTTAAGTTATGAAAAATTCTTGGAATTAGTCATGGAAAGTCATAGATTTGAAAATCTAAAATGTAGCATATACCCTGTATATATTTGTTAATTCATGACTTTTTTTAATAGTTTTGAATTAACGTACATTCATATATTATTTTAGGTATGTAAAATTATTAATTAAAGATAAGCACATTGTAATATTTTTGTGTATAAATTATAGCGTTCAATAGGAAATTTATTCAGACTTGTGTATCTAAAGTAAAATTTAAAGTTTGATGCAAAAATATATTTCATTTACTATTTTCTGGTTTTTGCCAATTGTACTAAATTAATTTCAAGGAATTTCTTGCTAAGTTTAAATAATTCAGTAATTTAATTGTGCTTTCTTTTAAAATTAGCATTTATTGAAGGAAACATGTGATGAACCAGAGTTAAATTCAAAATTTTTCTTATGCATCACTATTGTTTACTAAGCAATTTATATACAACAAATATTATCATATTTAAGTGATATTCAGGTGTTTTTTTAAGGAAAAGAAATATTAATAGTGTCTTTACATTTTCATAATATAATATTGGTACATAATATATCTTACGAAACATAATATTGTAAAAGATCTAAATTTATTTTTATCTAACTAAATTCAATTTTTTTCCAATATTTTTATGCCAGTTTATTTAAGATTGTGAAACTTAAGTTGAAAAAAAGTTGCTAAGTTGCTTCAATTGTTATATTTTGAGTTCTGTATAAAAAATTTGTAATTTTAAATCAAAGAATTTTCCAAGATCTTTGTATATTATTGTTTTCAAGTTTATATTTTAATAATAGTCTCAAAAACCAAGCAATAAAGGTTTAAACAGAAGTTTAAATTTAATAAAAATATTTATGGCTGTTCATTAAAAATAATTATATTAAAGAAAATAAGAAAATTGATTCATTTCTTTTAAACTATGCTATAGAATTATATTTTTATTAGTTTTCATATTACTTAGCATGTAATCACTAATAAATTTTCAATTCATGTTTGTGCTCTTTGAGTTTTACGGAGCGTATAATCATTCTTTATCATATCCAAAAATTTTTGAAATAAAACTTAAACAGTTAAATTTGTAATAAACAGTTATTGTGTGATTTAATTTGAAATTTTCTGTTGGTCATTTTTTAAAGCACAGTTCATGTTTTTTTTTATTATTTTTTTTTATTATTATTTATTTCTGAACTGAAATATTGTGGATTAGTGAGAGAATAATTGTATGATTTAATGGTTGTATTTTAGAAAATTATAGTTGGGTAAGTTATAGTGCAAAAATCTAGTTGGGACTAATGTAATAAAATCAAGTATTCTGTTATAATTGATTAATCAGAGACCAAAATAGTTTTTATTTTTAAGATTTAGGTTTTAACTTGAAGAATTTTTATTTTATTTTATTTGATTATAAAAAATTTTTTAACATTGAAAGAAATAATTCTTTTTCTCCAATTTTCATTAATATCTACAAGATGTTTTTAATTTTTTAGACATTTTCATTTAGACCAAGAAATTATGTAGTTAATAGACAAATTGCTTAATTCTGTTTCTAAAGTGGGCAAAATTTAAATGTTGCAATTTTCAAGGAACTGGAAATTAATTAAAATCATGAATGTGTCAGTCTTAATTTATCATTTGATTCATTATAATCAATTGAATTAGTACCATCATTTGATTTTGTTATCTTATGTTCTGTAAATTGAATCCGAATAATTTATTATAATCAATAAATATTTAAAGTAAAATCTTGAATTAGTTTAAAATCCAATAATATTTTTAATTTTATATTAATTGTGAAATTAAAGGTGTTTTAACTTCTAAGTTTGTCTTGCATTGAGAGTCCCATGCGTTAATTTTGTATGTTAAATGCAATAATTATTCTTGTTTTAGGTAAAGTTTTCTTTTAAATATGATTAAAGAATTTTTTTCCTTCCTATTGATGATTAGTTTGACTAATTATTATGATATGTTTGCTTAGAGGTGTATACTTCTTTTTAGTTGTTAGTTAAAATGTAGATTTATTATTATATCAATCTACAAATTTTTTTTGATAACAATTGTGATCGTTAGTTTATTTAAGAAATAGAAGACTTCATCCCTTGCTTATTATTGCTACTTTTATCTAGATAATTTTAAATAACGTTTATTAAATTGGACATTTTTCAAATTTTAAACTGGTTGCTTTCTTTTAAAAACTGGTTTCCCCAATGTTGTTCCATAACAAAGTAGTGCATAAAAAGAAAGTTCAATTTTGCTTTAAGTCTTTTGTTAACATTGTTTTTTGTGCTCAAGATTTTCTAAGTTTTTATTGAATGAATATTAATATCAATTTTTACTTTTTAGGGAACTTTTATAATCGACCTGGAAGTACACGAAAAATAATAGGTTCTCCTAGACAACTAGAGAATGCAGTACCTACTAATAAAAACCCTCACGGAGTTTGGGTTTGATGTTAATTTTAATGGTTTTATTAGAGAAACAAATTCTTTGCTTTTAATTTTATTCAATTGTAGGTTGTTTTTTGAAGAATTTTTTAGAAAGCAGTTTAGTTATGAAGCTTATAATTTAGCAGTCTAACAATTGTTATTAATTTATTTTAAATTACTTGGTTGAAAAATGTGATACATTTCCAGTTGATTTAAATTTTAGCTTATAAATTGTAAAAAGATTGTTTGTAGATATCACATGTTTACAGTTTGTTACATTGCAGCTATTTATCTTTTTAAAAGTTCTATTTAAAAAATTGTATGAAATATGAGTAATTTTTTAGTTGGTCAAAATACCAAATGATTGTAAAATTTTTTATTATAAAAAATTATACTGATTTACTAGATATTTTTAAAACAGGCAGCTTAAAATTTATATTATTTACCTAATATTATACTCATTTTAAATAAAATTATAAGCATAAGTTTCTTGAGTACTTGTGATGCATTCGCTATAAAAAAATTTTGCGCAAATTCATTTTTGCTGACTATTATGGAGGAATTATGTCTATAATCATAAAACATTATGTATGATTCTCATAATTTACAAATTTGTTGCTTTATTCAATTTATGTAAATACAAATAAATTTACATGTATGAAATATTTTTATGTAGTAACGTGCCATTGCTGAGATGCGTATAGCATGTATTATGCATTTTATTTTTTGCTTTTTTTTTAACTAGAATATGTACTGTGTTAAATACTTAATTATACAATAAAATAACATGTGGTGTAATTACAGATTGTTTTAATGTTAGTTGTTTTGTGCTTGTATTTTAGAAATGTTTTTGAATTTAACACTGCCAGTATGATGTTTACCATACTGTTATGCATTTGCAGTTATAGTTTTATGGGCAGATTAATTCTTAAATATTTTCCTAGTATTATCTGACCAAAATAAGTTTCCACATGTGTTATGATGAACATTGATTTAATGAATAAAAAGAAGAAAAAAAACTTGAACCCTCAAAATACTCATTTTTATTCAGTGATTGATGAATAAGAGATATAATGTAATGTTATTTCTTAAACATGTGTATGAAGCTGTTTTAATTCTAAAAATGCTCATGAATGACTCTGAAATATTTAAATACTTATGTGTTGAATAAATTTTATCATAAATTACTTGTTTTTTTTTCTTTCAAAATTGGATGTTTATTACACAATACTTTTACATTTATGAATTATTCAAAGTCAAAATAGATTAAAAGTAAGTAGAATAATAAGAAATGTGTTTTGACAGTGAAGTTTATCGGTAGTGATCATCCTTCTTTCCACAAGAAAAATTACTTAAAAATACATGAAAACTAATTTAATCTTGTTATGGAATTTGAAATTGATTTGTTATTTATTAAATCTTGCATATTGCTGAACAGTGCTGGATACATTTGTTTCATCGTGCTATACCTTTCCCCGAATCATTCGTTTTCGCTTTCTTTACGATCATTTTTCTCCATCTTGGCTATCAATTTTATTGAATTATAACAAACAAACATCTGCCCACTTCCATAACAACAATCCAAATACATCTGCCCACTTCCATATTTATTCTCTATCACTTGGTAAACTTCAAATGTGATAATTTGTTTCTTAGCCTCTAAAGTTGTACCTTACAAGAATTGCAACTGAAACTGTTATGTCACAGTTAACCTCACATCAGTTGTGATCAGGAGTGAAAAATTGCTGGTAATTTAACTTTTCATTTGTATTGTTCTTTCGCTCCCCTAATAGCAGAAATCCTCCAGCACAGCAGTGGGTGTTGCAGATTATTACATGATTTGCAGATTCTTTTTATCTCAGATTTCAATAATAATAATTAGTCAATATTATAATAATAATTCAATATTATAATAAATGAATAAATAAATAAAGAACTGCAGTATCTATTTTTTATTTTATTTACTTATTTAATTTAATAAAATTGAGATCAAGAGAAAAAGTAAAAGCTTATCTTTTTCAGCATTTCGTGTATATGATAAGGAACCATATCTCACCCTTAAGAAAACTGACACCCAAAACAATTTATCAGGGAGTGATAATGAGGTTGCAAGAATTTACGTCAGTAGAAAACGTTTTTATTGTGGGCTTGGGTGCAATTTCATTCTTTAAAATACATTTTCAAGGGGTGAAAACATATAAAAATTGGAGAAAAATACTTATTTAAGCAAGCATTTCGTGTATTTGATTTTTTATCTCCTATTGGCAAATTCCAATTTTGCTATAAGTTTGAGTAAGAATAAGTTTTACAATATTAGTCTTCATTCATTTGTAGGTATTGAATTTGTTTGGGTTGCAGAGAAACTTTGATTTATTAAGATGGTGTTGCAGATTGGCGGAGAAAATTGCTACATGGCTTGCATCTGTGGTTGTTTCTCTCAATTAATGGCAAAACGTTAAAACTCAGACAGGAAGCTTTTAAAACATTGCTACATAAAGAGATTACTTAATTTTTTTCCGGTTATTGTCCTGAGTACTAAAACTTAATATTCTTATTTGGTTATTTCCGAAACAAATTCAGAATTTTTTTAAATTCAGAAAACTATCTATCAAATATTTAGTCAGGGCTGATTGTGCTCTGGAAAAATCCGGATTTTTCGCTAACTATGATCCGGAAGTTTCCGGAGATCGAAGGTTCAAACGTTTAAAAAAATCTTTGATCACAAAAGTTTCCGGAAATCAAACTTTCAAAGGTTGAACTTAAAAACAGTTTATTTTATTTGTAAGGGAGAGCCAGATACTTTATAAGCTTATATTCAAGATTAATATTAATTTTTTATCAGTAAATAGTTATTATAATCATAAACTCAAGAAAGAAAGACATATTTGTAAATTTTAATTACTTCTCCAGGTCATCATTGGTATGTGTAATATATGTAAATGGTATAGGTATGGGTAAAATTTTAAATATATTTTAAGTAAACTAAGAAATATTGAGAAAAAGAAAAAAAAAAACCTTGTTTAAATTTTTTTCTAATTTTTCGATTTAAATTTTTTTTTACTCAAGAAATTTTCTGGATTTTTGACTTGGGCTCATAATTAACCCTGTATAGTCTAAGCTCATTGGACCCCATAAATTTAATTTATGTTTCCCATATCATCGTAACCAATCAAAGAATTTTGCACACAATTGTTAAACTTATTTATCTGCAGATAATTTCATGCAAAAATATTATTTTTTGCATGGTTAATGATAATTTTTTTTATTGTATGGTACATAAATTATTATTTCTTCAATAACTATGCTATTTTAGGTAAGAAATGTCAAAATTTGAATGGAATTGTTAAGATGGTTCCTGAACGAAAATAAAATAGTAATTTAAATATATTTGAATTATTATTTGAAATTTTTATTTCTTGCTAATTTCATTAATCTTTTACAATAATAATTATAAAATAATAAAAATATGAATAAATAAATAATAAAATAAAAAATATAATAATAAATTATAGAAATTTTTTCCATGAAAATAATTTTTAAATATGAAAATTTAATTACTGCATGCAGAATTTTTTAATTTGATTAAACAGTTCCAGAAAAGTGGTGAAATATAAAATAAAATATTGAAAATTATTTACTGCTTTTTTGATTAATTTGGACCAATACTAATGGCCATATTTAAAGTTTGTTTTTCAAACTATTAAGATTGATGCTATGTTTTTCAAACTATTAAGATTGATTCTAAGTTGTATGTGAAAACCTGATCAATAGGTCAAAAAGTTTTAAAAATGATACATGCTGCTCACTTTACAGTGTTGTACAATTGCTTTCACTACAATAACAATATTGAAGCGAAAAATTTCTGTTTTAAGAATGTGATAGACACTAACCAAAAATTTTTTGTAATCTTTATTTTAGCTACTGAAATGGTTGTTAAATGTCTTGTCTCCAAATGCCACACATCCAAGCTGTAAAATTAAGGCATTGAAATTTATCTCACAGGATTGCACAAACACAGTAGAGAGAAAATAAGCCTGAAAAACAACATAAGATGTGAAAATGAATGGTCGCAACAATATGCATTTTTTAAATCTAAGATTGTTCTTTAGTTTTAGAATTTTTTTTATTTTATGCTGTTCTTTTTATCCTGAAGAGGTTACTGTGAGACGAGTGTTATTCACCTTGTCACCCTTCATCTATCAAAAGGTACCACAACATAGAATTAAGTTAACATGTCTTATATACTAGTGAATTAGAATTGAATAATTGTAGTGGTAGACATGCTACATACTGCCCCACCAGAATTTTATCTGTAATAGAATTTGATGAACGGATATCATTAATTGATTCATTGCTGTTTTGTGAGAAGACGGGTGAGCTGTATTAAGTTCACCAGACATTGAATCCTAATTTTGAGAGCTGTATTAAGTTCTTGGCCGTGGTTGCTTCTGTTTTGCCATTAGCAGTTAAGTGTATTTAGGCCGACATTGAGTGTGATTTAGACTGAGTAGCAACAGCGTGAGTGAGAAGAACAATATCTCAGTCACAAGTAGCAAATCAACTGTTCAACCTGGACCATCTATTGAAGTGTGTTCCTGTTTAGATGAATCATGTCCGCAGGTCACCAATGTGGGGCGAATGGTATTGGCAATGTCAATTTGCAACTATGTAAAGGTACGCAACTAGTGAATTGGAATAATTGTAGTGGTATACATGCTACAATTACCCAAAACATTAGTTTTTCGAAGAAGAAAACTAAAAAATTTAGTGGCGCCCCAATTGTCTGGGTGGAAAAAATGGGAAAGCATGTGTATTTTTTTTTGTTGACAGATTATATGGGATTATTTTAAAAGAATAACCTTTGTAGGAACTATTGATTTCCAAACAATATAGGTTTCCTGAAGTAAATTTGTAGAATAATTTGCAAATAGTTTTTTCTTCCAACGTTAAAATTCAGTAACATTCTCTCCCCCCGCCCCCCCCAAAGAAAAAAAAAAGAGATCGATTGCCATTTTTAGATAACGTTAGTGCTCAACTTCAAAGTATGTACAACATAATGATGTCTAAACAAAATAGGTTCTGCAGTAAACTTTTGTCAAATTAATTTCTATGCGTCTCTTGCAACATTAAAATTTGTTACATTGTTAGTTAAAACATAAGATGTTAATATGCTATTTTCTGATTGCAACTAAATACCTCTGGTTAATAGAAGGATTCTTAAAACAGTTATGCAGCGCAAAGTTCAGAAATTAATTCTTAGTCTCCTGTAATGTCAATTTACCCAATGAATATTTAAAATCAATATTTTCAGCAAAAAATCATATTTTTTTTAAACGTGCAAATCAAAGGTAAATTTTATGTGTATTTCTGTTCTAAAAATAGGGATTTCATAGTGTAAATTTGTGAAACAAATTTTTTATGTGTGACCATTGTAACTTCCAAAATTTAGCCTCATTTCCATTTATAAACTTGAAATTTAACTGCTATTACTGAAAAAAGTTGCAACTCAAATGTGAAGAGTATGGTACAATTTGGAGATGAGTTTAAGTATGGAGATGAATTTTATTTCAATGATGGAGATAAATATAGTAAAAATATTAGTGTTCTAAAAAAAAGGTTTTGCAGTGCAAATCTGAGAAATAAATTTTTTACAAGTCTCTTCTTATTGAAAAAAACCCAAATGCAATAGAAATGAAAAAAAAAGAAAAAAGATTTCAACGTTAGACTGGTTGTAAATTTCTAAATGATTTATTCGGTGAAAATTAACTTAGAATTAAATATAACTTAGATATGAGGAAAAGTTGACATGATACAGGAAAATATGAACACATATGTATAAAAAACAACATGAATATTTAGAATAAGTTTTGAATTAGAAATTTTATTTAAATTTTTCTCCCAGAAAATTATAGCAGTTTTATAAAACAGTTTTACAGCAATTTTAACAGGAAATTATTGATATTCCTATTAATTATGTTTTCTGCTTTAAAATAGAAAAGTTATTTTAAATTTGTAATTGATGAAGGTGGTGAGAGGAGAAGGAAGCATAATTATTTATTTCAAAAACAATAAATAGAAAAACAAAAACATTGCTTTTATTTTAATGTAAATGAAACACACAGAAGGATATTTTAAGATTTTTCTTCTGCATATTAGCTTCAGAAGTACTGTACAGTGAAAAAGAAAAATACTGACACCATGAAAAGACATACAACATGCACAAAAATTCTGGAATGTTTTGAATTGTAAAATCATAAATATGGAACATTGAAACATCAATTTCTTGTAAATTTTAACTTAGTAAAAATGTCCTCCTCGGCTTGTTCATTTCATTAAACTGTACCTAATGGATAAAAGTTGAACAAAGTTATTGAATCTGAAAACTTAAAATTTTTTTTTTTTAAAGCTAACAATTTTTCAAAAAAGCAGCGTGACCAGTACATCCCAAAACTTTTTAACCAGTCACCTATTGTAAAAAGCTGAAAACATTTTATTCAAACATTTAAAAAGAATTACATAATTTACATTAAACATTTAAAAAGAAATTCACTGCTTACTTAAAAGTAACCGATGTAAATTTTTGAGTTGTCATGGTGAAAAATATTAATGTAGCACCAGTCTGTCAATCATAAATTAGAAGTGATTATCAAAAATTGTGCAATACTTTACCGAGTGCAGGAATTTCGATTTTGAAATTAAATAATGATTAAAACACTGATGATTGATTCTGTTCTATGTTAGGGTGGCACTATTCTTTGTTTGAGTAGAGACCTAGGAAAACATATTTAACTTTGGAAGGAATTTTTATGACAGTTAACAATAACTTGAATTAACAAATTAGCAATAACTTTTACAATTGTTGACAATTAACAATAGCTTCCTTAAATAACACACACATTTTCATTACATTAAAATTCATCTTTAACAAAATTAAATTTAACTCTTGATTTTAGAATTTCAAAGTTAACATATTTTATAGAGAAAAGTTAAAGAAATATATTAAGATTGATTTGAAGAATAACCATAAGATGCTTTCTAAGCAATTTAGGTAGTTTACATTATTTTCTAGAAAGAAGTTAAAAAGCCACACACATTGACCATTTAAAGGATGTAACAATTTTTCCTATTAAGAAATCATATTTTGCATAATTTATTTTAAATTTGTCCAAAACTTATTGAATATATATATAATTACCTTATGTCTCATAAATGTATTTTTTGACCATCAGTTGGATAAAAAATTTAATTAATATTAATTTTTACAAAAATTTTTAAAATAATAAAAGTCTTAACACCAAAAATACATATTAATCATAATTTTAATCAGATTTTTTGTGTGAAGATGGTGTCATTATGGTCCATATTAAGAAAAGTGTTGTAGACAAAATAAATAAAACGAAAAATGCTATTACAAAATATGGATTTTGTTTAGAATATTCAAATGTTTTGTCTAGAATTTTATCAAACATTGATAATGGAGGTGGTACAGTTTCAGATTTGGAATTTTTATAAAAACTCTCAGCAAACCTCTTTAATGTTTTAGAATTGACATCAGGAAGACTAAATCTGTACAGTTTTTGATGACGAAAAAGTATGATATGTGGACATGTATTTATTTTGAAACGTTCTTTAGTTTCAGGAGCTTTCAGAATATTCACACTTGCTACGTTAACCTTGTTTTTAAGTTTTACACCAGCTGTTTCTAAATGCATAAGCTCTCGATTCTTACAGCAAGAATCATCGTGGAATATCACCAGCCAATCACCTGTAGTTGCACCGGTTGCGGCTTGCGTTAGATGTTCAAATGATGAATCATCTAAATCCACTGTAGCTGGCTCAATATTGTCTTGCAACCATGCATATAATATTTCATGATCAAATTTACCAGAATAAATAGCTGTTTTGTTGTTTCTTGTGTATAGTAACGTAGGCAAGCGCTTAATACCAAAACGTTTTTTCATTTCTTCAGATTTTAATCTAACAACAAGTAAACCAAGGTTGTCTTCTAATTCTTGACTCATGCCACCGAGCAGAACTTCGGCTTCTACACAGTCAGTACAAGCACAACATGCTTGAGTAAATAAAGCGACAAGTGTGTGATCTTGTTTTAAGAGTTCGTCGAACTGGGTAGATTCATCTTGAGATTCGTTGATCTCTCCCTTCGTTGAAATAATTAAAAATATGAAAATAGTTACAAAACTAGTTATAAATGACATGATCGTAAAATATTGGAACTATTTCACAAATTCCACCTGTTAATTCTCATAATGATCCACTGATCTCTATCAGTCTAATGATCTTGCAGCTGTTCATACGTGTTTGTTTACTTTAGTGTTTAATCAGTGCTTGACGCTTTCGACTGCCTTTTTCTGCTCATTAAAGTTTTGAAATTCATTATAAAAGGGCGACAAGCTGTTTAGAAATAAATAGCTTTGCTTAGAAACTCGTTGCATATTGTGTACACAAGATTAAACTCAAACTGCAACCGTGATTATTCAATCTTGTTTTGTAAACAAATTTATGAAATTAAATTAATATTGGAATTGGAAATGAATTTTCTTCCTAAAATAATGCTTCCCCAATTGATTTTCAAAAAATCCAAATGTAATTGGCTTATTAAAAATTGATTCTAGTTTAATCTAATAGATGAAACTTGTTCTATTTTTATTCTCGATATAGCTTAGTATCAAAGATACATCCTTTTTCGCATTTAATGCATTGCTTTAGTTATCAATTGTCATTTAATTTTTTATGCTTATTCACCGAGAAATCTTCTAATTTGTTTCTATTATATTCATTATATTATGTCTTAATTCCAATGCAAAATGTTATATATCTTAAGACATATATAAAAAGATTTGGTGTTCTTCCGAAATTTTTTATTTCCCAAATTGAATAATAAGAGACGAATCCTGAATAAACAATTTATTTGATGTAATTACTTTGTGTATTGTGTTTTCTTATTATTGTGTGCTTAAAATGTTATTTCTTATAGTTATTTATTTTGATGGATAATCCGAAACAAGTTATAATATATATTTTTTTCATGTAACACCTAGAGTTCACATATATAATATATCAACTGGGATATTCTTAGATGTAATAAAAATTTAACCATGAGGACGGAGATATTCCAGTATCGTGATCTCTCACACCTACTATTATCACCAAGGTGCCAAATAGATTTTAAACCTGCAAATTTAAAAAAAAAAGCATGTAGATGTTTGCCTAGGGGTGGCTTTGAGTTAAACCTTTCAAGTTAATCCCTTTCTGTGACATTTTTTTTAAAGTTTCTCTTGGTTCGTTGCGTGGAAGTTATTCTGCCGCAGATCACGATACAGAAATCTCGGGGATATTTCCGTAACGTGATCTGTTGCACCAACTACAATCGCCAAGGAGCCAAATAGATTTTAAACTTGCAAATTTTTAAAAAAAGGCAACATGTAGAATTTTGCCCTGGGGTGGCTACGAGTTAGTCCCTTTCTGTGATGTTTTTTTTAGTTTCTCACTGGCCACTGCCCGGAAGTTTCCAAGACTTGGCGATTATTCTGCCATAGATCATGATATAGAAGACTTTAGCAGGCTTGTATTAAAAGTCAGCTCTTCTTTAGAAAAACCAATACAGAATATGTTTTCATGAATGAAAATAGTTTGATCAAATGAGATGTTCTGTAACACTTTCTTTACATAACAAGAACTGAAATACAGTAGAGTCTCGAAAGTTCGAGTCTCAGAAGTCCGAGGTTCCACTTAATTCGAGGTGCCAAATTTTCCCCCTAGCAACCAAAAGCGCTCTTCCCATTTCCTCTCGCAAACGAAATTATGCAGGTGTTATTTTTCGTTTCTTCCTGGAAAGAAAGGAATTTTCAAACCAGATCTACAAGAGTTTTATTCTTCCAAGTTCAATTGTACTAGTAGCTTAGATGCTAGTTAGGGACTCAATACACGTGCTTGCTTGATCCTTATTATTTTGGGAACTTATTGCTGTTGAAACAGTTGCGTTAAGGTGCCTGCTGCGAAAATGAGTGGAAAAAATAAGAGAAAATTTGTATAACTAAATTGAACACTATAAAAAGATTAGATGCAGGTGAAACAATACAAAGTGTTGCTACCGATTTGGGTGTTGGAAAGGTAACAGTTGGTGACTGGCGCCGCAATCAAGTAAAAATTGAGCAGTTTTGTTCAAAGAAGTGCAATGAGACTCCAGGAGAAAAAAGAAATCTATGAGAACATCAGACTATGAAAAAACTAGCAAGGCTTTATTTCTTTGGTTTACTCAACAGCGTAGCAAAGGTACTCCTATAAGTGGCCCTATTCTTCAGGAAAAAGCTGTGTTTTTCAGAAATCAGTTCAAAGAAGAAGAAGATTTCGCAGCAAGCGTTGGTTGGATAGACCGTTGGAAAAAACGATATGGTGTATGTCAACTAAATATTTGCGGTGAAATACTCTCGGCAGATACGTCAGCTGTGCAGGCATTTCAAAAACGGATTGAAGACATTATATTGACGGAAAAGCTCACACCTGACCAGTTATATAACTGTGACGACGCAGGTTTGAACTTTAAGATGTTGCCCTCAAAATCCCTTGTTTCAAAAGAGGAAAATTCAGCTCCAGGTCACAAAAAACAGAAGGAACGATTAACCATTTTAGCATGCGCCAATGCATCTGGAAATCATAAAATGAAACTGACTGTGATTGGGAAATCTGCCAAACCTAGAGCCTTAAAAAACATCACTAAAGAAGCCTTACCAGTACATTACACAAATCAGAAAAGTGCATGGATGAATCGAGAAATTTTCAAACAATGGTTTTCAGAACATTTTGTTCCAGAAACACGGAAGGCATTGAGAAAAAAAAATTTGCCTTGCAAAGCAATTTTGTTTTTAGATAACGCTCCATCTCATCCGGACGATGATGATCTACGTTGTGGTGAAATCCGTGCTATATTTTTTCCTGCCAATGTTACAAGTTTGATTCAGCCAATAGATCAGGGCGTATTGGAAAATTTAAAGAAAAAATATCGACACCGTTTGTTACAACATTTAGTTCAGTCTGATAATGAAAGTGTTGCGGATGTATTGAGGAATGTAAGTCTGAGAGATGTTGTCTACTGGATAGCAGATTCTTGGGAAGAAGTTCAACCTGCGACAGTAATTAAATCGTGGACTAAGTTTCTACCTGAATTGGTTACGCCTATTGAGAAAATTAATGATGATGATAGTGAAACAATTGTTTTGAAAGATTTGGTGAAGAAATTACCAGGCTGCGAAAACTCTAATGCAGTTGATCTAAATGAATGGCTAAATAGTGACGACAAGCTGGAAATAACAGACTCAAGTATTATAGAAATGATGGAAGATGAGGAAGAATATGAAACAGAAGAAAACGACTCTCCGTTATCAGAAAAAAAAATCTCATAGTGTAGGTTCTGCAGCCTTAGAACTAGCCTTAAAATATGTAGAACAGCAAACTGACGCCACCCCTGCAGATGTTTTGCTTTTGAAGCGTTGGCTGACTATCGCATCAACAAAGAGAAGTAATATATTGAAGCAACAAAAAATTGACAATTTTTTTAAATTGTAAAGAATCTTTTACGTCATTATACTAAAGAATAAAAGATTTTAAGGTAATATGTTCATTTTATTTAATTTCATTTGTAGCTGTTAAAAATTTTCTACTTTTTCGGAAAATCCGAGTTTTCAGTAATCCGAGGTTGTGTCAGCCCCAATTACCTCGAATTTTCGAGACTCTACTGTACCTATAAAAATAATAATGCCTATAATTCTCTTCCTATATAAGTCTTCTTTGCCTAATGCAAAACTCTACAATCCTACTGCAAAATAATTTTCATCTGGTGCAGTCTCTTATTATACAAGGTCCAGATTTCCTAGGTGAAAAATATTTTTCTTTATTAGTTATTTTTTAAATGCAACAGCAGTATTATACATAAAGCAATGTCATTTTTTTGAGAAATGTTTCAAAAGAAAAGCCTTGTAATATTAACATCAAATTTTTTTAATTATTTAAAATATTCAATCTTTGAAAAATTGTTAGCATGTTTAAAAAAGTGGCCATTGGTAGATATGCTACAACTGACTGTTGGCAAAAATATCCTAATTTTGACTTATAGTTTTTACTATATATGTTAATTTCTTATCTGAATTAAATGTCCTTGTATATATGTTTTCCTATTTGATCCACAAGCCTCCACATATTATCACTTGTTAATTTTACATTGTAAATTTTTGTTACCATTTAATTATTTATCCACATTTTACATTTTGCTTTTTAGATTTATCAACTAAAATTCCTTCATCTCTTGTTTCAAATATAATATCAACAAGCTCTGGCATTACTGATCAAAATGTTCAAGATATTGTTACTAAACATACTGATTCAAATGCTGTGACTGAACACCATGATCCAGATATGGTGAGATACTTTTTTTTTTATAATATCTGTTTCTCATAAAAAAAAAATGGTTTAATATAAATTTACTTAAATATTTCCATATTTAATTTACTTTGATTTCATTATGCTTATTAATAAGAATGTTTTTGTTATTCATTTCATTCCTAAGCCTTTTTAGAAGGGTGGTTCATCCTATAAACGCACCCTCTTTGCCCTATTTTGTAAAAGAAGCCGCCGGGTCATTCCATGTCAAATCATACAGGATTTTACAAAAATGGCACCCACCATCTCTGATTTTGATGAAAATTTGTACACTTATAGAATTTTTTGTGCTGATTTCAAAAATATCAATTATATTTAAATCGGTTAAGGGGTTTAAAAGTTATAAGCATTTGTATTTTTGCCAAAATGGCACATTTGCCGCCATTTTGATTCATACATCAAAGGCTATTAATGATTGTAACTCACCTTATATTTGTCATAGAGCAATAATTTTTTTTTTATTTTGTTCAGAATAAAGTAATCTGTCATATAAACACTTTTTTTTGCAAATAAGTATCTTACTTATTTAGTAAATGGGTCTGTTTTGCAGTTTTTTGATCAGCGGAGTTGAGTAACTTCAGGAGATTATTTCTGGCAACTCGCCCCCTTCAATTTCAAAAATATTTTATTCAAAGATAGTTGAAAGTGCAAACTAACATCTGATACAAAAATTTTGATGGGCCGTTCACTCACTTTTTAAAAAAAATATATTTTTCTTATGAATCATTATGCGTTAAAAGTACTCGTAGTTTGATGATTTATAGTCCTTAATTATAACTAGAGTATAATAAAATGATATAAAAAAATGTGAATGGTAGAAAAATATGTAAAATAAAGTAATCATTTATTAAATTATTTAATTATTTTTTTTCTTCTTTCTTTGAGCCCTCAAAAAAGAAAAGAAAGGACAAAATTTTAGAATGAACAAAATTTCACCTTTTTTCCAAATAAATTTATCCAGAATCATATAGCTTTGGTAAATGAGAGGGATCAGAATCCAAAAAAATATAAATAAAAGTTTCTCTGAAAGAGTAGAGGGCAGTACCAAATAATAAAAAGCAGCCATTAAATTTTTTTTTAATTGAACTAACTTTGATCTTTATGGAAGGAGAAAATCATTGCACACTTTAATATAATTCAAACATTTTGTTTGATTCTAAAATGTAATTGAAGACCAAATTATGAATATTTGAAGTTAATTTTATCCTTTTATTTGTCACAATGATTGTTATGGTAATGAGATACTCCTAAAAAATTTCATTTGAAACACTGATAAAGTTAAAATATTTATTATAATTATATTGAAATGAAATGATTTTATATCACTAACTATAAGATAATTTGCATGCTCTTATTTCATCACTAGTACCTGCAGGCCCTTTTTATTCTCAAAAACTTTTATTATAATTATATACATCTAATTTTTTTTAAAAAAACTTCTGAATATAAAAAAAAAAAATTCTGAAAACTATTGACACATTCCATCCCTACCTTCCCAAGAAAGAATCCATTTATTTAGAACAGAACAGAAATAAATAAGTTTTCAAAAGTTTTATATGTATCAATTTGATATTTAAAAAAGAGTTTTATTATGAAAACCCAAGTATTATATATAGTATTGGATTAACTTTGAAAGATTTTAAGTATAGTTTAAATTCACAAAAGATTTTAGAACTTCAGAGACTATATAACTTATTTCATTTAGGAGCAATTTAGATTTTAAGGAAAGTTTAATTATATGCCTCATACATAAGGAGTATCTTTTGTATCAGTATGAAATATGTAAGGTGACTCGGAGTAATTCACGATCACTCTGTTTCTGGGGTAAATAATGATCACCTTAGTTTTATTTTAAAAAAATAAATTTTTTTTTAAAATTTGAGGCATGGACAAGAATGCTTGTACATTTTGCTAAAGTATAACTACATTTACTTAATTAAAGTTTTTTGTTTAATCTAACAAAATAAGTATCTTTTAAACTGCTTTCTGTATTTTCCATTTTAAAGATGGGTTTCAAAATGTGCACATTTCAGCAAAGATCCCCTCCTTCTCTTAATAATAAATATTTTGAGTTACTTTCTTTTTCTTTGATATAAAAATAGTGTAAGCTTTTGTTTAATTGTTTCATATCTACTGTAAACATTATAATTAACTATAGGAAACTATATCAAATGTTGCCCCCATGGGGTAATTATTGATCTTGGGGTAATTCCTAATCATTGTCATTTCTCTTTATAAATAGTATTAAAAATAGCTAATTGTCTTTTCTTAAATGGCAGTTCAAATTTATTAAGTAGAACAACCATTAAAATATATTTTAACTGTAATCACAAAATTTGTTTTTAACTGTATACAAGACAAATGTGTCTGTATACAAGACAAATTCGCCCCATTTCTGGTTTGCCTTACCTTGCTTCTATCTTAATTTTATGTGTGTACATTGTTAGAATAATTTTTAAGTTTATAAATTTGCCTAATATGAATATGGTGAGAAATTATAAGACTAAAAAAGATACTAAGCTTCTAGAAAGCTAAATTAGTGAATTTCTTTTAATGATTGAAAATGAAATTTCAGTGTGAGAGCTGCTGTCAGAGCTGTTGACATACCTTACTTAACTTTACACACTCACTAAATGAAGTTAAAAAATCCAGCAAAAGTAACTTATGTGGGAACTCTTTCTTATATTCCAACAGAACATGAGAATGAGTTGGCTGCTTGCCTAATATGTATGGCACGATGCAAAGATTTTTGGAAAATTTAAAGTGTTAATCTTTATTCTTTGCTTTTAAATAAATCGTTTTATTAGCTGCTTAAACATTTCTTTGGTTTAATTGTTTGATCTTGATGTTTTATTTGTTAATTACCATTGTATAATTATTTTTAAACAACCCCTTTACTATAAAAACTGGTGATCAGTAATTACCCCAGAAGTGATCAGGAATTACCCCAGAAATGATCAAGAGAAGGGGTAATTCCTGATCACTACAAATTTAACATCTTTTAAATTCTAATTAGATTTTCAAACAAACGAAGGTAGCATAGGACTCATCTCATATAGTCTCAAACTTCCAGTAAATATTGAAATTCTATCTAGAATTGTTTTTTTACAAAATAGATCAGGATTTTTGATCAGGAATTATCCCAGGTTACCCTATATAAAAAAATTAAAAAAAAAATTGTGACTTATTTAATTCTCCTTCCAATAAGACCAAGAAAGTCTCCCTTCATGTCATAAGTGTAGATCAGGCTAAAACATACAGAGCTAAATTGCAAATTTCAGCAATTCCTGGCGAGAGATTGTGTTTGTCTTGTTCAGTCTCAAATTTTTTCCTTTCTTTTCTTTTTTGAGGGGGGGGGGAGCTCAAAGAAAGAAGAAAAAAATAATTTAATAAATGATTACTTTATTTTACATATTTTTCTACCATTCACATTTTTTTATATCATTTTATTATACTCTTAGTTATAATTAAGGACTATAAATCATCAAACTACCAGTACTTTTAACGCATAATGATTCATAAGAAAAATATTTTTTTTTAAAAAGTGAGTGAACCGCCCATCAAAATTTTTATATCAGATGTTAGTTTGCACTTTCAACTATCTTTGAATGAAATATTTTTGAAATTGAAGGGGGCGAGTTTCCGGAAATAATCTCCTGAAGTTACTCAACTCCGTTGATCAAAAAACTGCAAAACAGACCCATTTACTAAATAAGTAAGATACTTATTTGCAAAAAAAAGTGTTTAAATGACAGATTACTTTATTCTGAACAAAATTTTAAAAAAATTATTGCTCTATGACAAATATAAGGTGAGTTACAATCATTAATAGCCTTTGATGTATGAATCAAAATAGCGGCAAATGTGCCATTTTGGCAAAAATACAAATGCTTATAACTTTTAAACCCCTGAACCGATTTAAATATAATTGATATTTTTGAAATCAGCATAAAAAGTTCTATAAGTGTACAAATTTTCATCAAAATCTGAGACGGTGGGTGGCATGGCTGGATGAACTGACATGGAATGACCCTGCCATCCCTTAAAACCACTGCTTTTTTATTCATATTCAATTTTTAGGAATAATAATTGTTTAAGTAATAATTACACAAAAATTATTTGTGTTTCTAGGTTTATTTCTGATTACTGTTACAAATCTTTATTTTCTTAGGATTATTTTCAACTGATTAAATTTTTATAAGCTTCTCTTTTTTAGTAAATTTTTTAAGTGATTTTAAATTTTAAAATTATTTTTTAAAATTAATTACTTTTTTAATGCACTTATAAATGCTTATTTATTAATAATTTTCAGTATAAATTATAGAAATCTTTTAAGTTTATCAAAAATAAATTCTTTTAGTTTACCTTTTTTCTTTTTATATATATATATATACACACAGAGATTGTCTCTTAGCAGGCTTTTAATCATTATTTATTAACTGCAAATTTTTCTCTCATTTAGATAATGAGTGAAAATTACTTTTTGAAATATACAAGATAGTATAAGACAATAACTTAAATATTGTTGAGGATCAAATTCAGTTATTGCATGATATTACACATTTTGATAAATTTTTACAGTGTTACCCTTTCAAAACTCAAAGTGTCTTTTTCTGTGAGGAAGTACTGTGCCTCTTTTTATTCCTAGGGAGAACTCTATATATTCTGAATATTCAATTATACAAATTTATGTGTATATTGTGAATAGTTTTATGTTGCTTTGGGTATAATTGTAATGTGTGTTAGTAGTGTTGATCAACAAAAGTTTGACATATTATAGAAATCTCATTTATAAGATTTCAATATGTTTAATTGAACAAATTTACTTTTAAAGTATTTAGCAGTTGCTTTAATCACTTCATTATATATTACTGTATTACTGAACTTCTTAGAATGTTTATTTTCTTAGAATGTTCTTCTAAAATTTAAGGGTATTTGTTTTTATGTTTTGTTTCAATTTAGACCTTTGAGTAATTTTCCTTAAGTTCGATTCATGTGAAAAATATAGTTTTAATTCTTAGTGCGACTTTTTTTTTGTTGCTATTTTGTGGAATTACCCTTTAAAAAAGAATTTTATGTATAAATTTTCCGAAGATTCTTGTCAGTTAAAAGATGAAAATTTTTTTTTCTCTAAATATTGATTTTTTTCTTTTTGAACATTAAATGTTTAACCTACTATCGAGTAAAAGTTATAAATACTAAGTGTCCTAAAATTTACCATATTAAATTCCATCTTACTTTCAAACTAATATTTAATTTAATTTAAATTTTATTGTTATTGTTTATCTATTTAAACTTTTAAATAATAAAAATAAGAGAAATATGGTAAACTTGAAAAAAATTGTATCATTACTATTATCATTTTCAACCATTATCAATCCACTGTTGGATTTTGCTTTTGTTTTCCAATTCGTGACTGTTTCTTTGATAAATTTGATCACACTACTTTGGTTACTTTACCATTTGATGTCACAAGAATTTCAGTACAAGTTGCTGTACTTAATCATTGGTCTCTATGATGAGTTTTAGGACCACACAATTCCCATACTATTTTCTCAATGATACTAAAAGCTCCAGTCTATTATCGTGTCTATGATACTTGCATCTGATCTTTTCACATAATACTGAGTTCACATCTTTCCATATTTCTTTGTTAGACTTTACATGGATTTCTTGAGAGAGTTCAAATTAACTCTAGTTAATTTTTAATGCCCAAGAGTTAACTCTGTGAGTGTTAGTTCTAGTTTTCTTAAAACAGGCTTTCCTGTATCAAAAAACTGATTTTTCTTTATTATTCAATTGGAAAGATGTGTGTAGCAGGAAAATTTCTATAAAATATGCATAGTATTCACTTTTAATTTCTGTCATAAATATAAGTAAATCTGCTCTTTTTCAAGTTCTTCAATCACTTTTAATTTCCTTAATTGATAAGCATTTAAAATGACTTTTTTCTTAACATTTCTTTTAATCTTAATCTTGCTTAACATTCCTTTTAAATTAATAAGCATTTAAAATGACTTTTTTCTTAACATTTCTTTTAATCTTTCTTAACATATCTTTTAAATTAATAAGCATTTAAAATGGCTTTTTCCTTAGCATTTCTTTTAAATCCCTTTAAAAACAGGTTTTTGATAATTATTTAAATAGTGACCCACTAAGTGTAGAAATACGCCAATTTTTTTTTTTTAAATGACACTTTCTTAGTTAAATTTTTTTTTCAAATTTATTTTTAAATATGTTTTAAATCTTTTTATTTAATTTTGGCATAATTTGTAATATTAAAGGTTTACATTTACATGAGATAGAACTAATTATTTTCTTTAAACCATATCATAGGTTAATGCTATTGAGTATTGCTTGATCCACATCAGTATTTTATAATAAAGATTAAGTAAAGTTTAAAAAAAAATTTCATTTTCAGTTGCATGCTCCTGATTTATGCCTGCATTGCTCTTCTGCAGATCAATATAAATTTTTTTTTATATTGATCTTTTTAATAATTGAATTCAAAATTTTCTCATTATAAAAAAATATTTTTTATTTTTTATTTCGTGATTGGAATTTGTTTTAATCTTTTTTGATTTTTTAAATTTTTCTAAGACATTTGCAATTAAAATAAATGAGTTCATAAATACATTATTCTTGATGAAAACCTTATCTACCTTTTTCATTTTAGTTAGTATTAAAGATTAAGAAATAAACAAATTTTTATGTAGTGGTCATTCAATTATTTTAGTTGGATTAAGTGTTAATACTATATTTTTATTTCCCCCTCCTCTTTTCATAGCTAATTTTTTAATTTATTTTATTTCAGTTTATTTCTGACATAAAAGATCCATATGAACTTCCAAAGAAAGTTTGCATTGCATGCAAGTATAAAATTCCATTTGATTATAAGGTATATTTATTTTTCTTCTAAAAAAAATAAAGAAAAGAATTTGTTATGCTGGGAAAAATTTCAATAAGTTATACTTTTATTTAAAGAAGGGGTCTTCAGTGTGTGTCCAGTAGTTGACATTTTGGTAGCCTGCAAAAATATCTCACTCAGTAACAAACAATAGTTTTTAATTAATTAAAAACTAATGTAAAAAAAACGCTATTATTTCAGACGATAACTGAAAGTACAAATGCTGTGGCCGATATTTGTAAGAAGGATTTTTTAAAATCTTTTTGATGATTTATTTTAATGAATATGATATTAAGCAATTAAGTTTAACCTCCACTTACACAGTTTACTTTACAAAAATATGCTTTTATGTTTGCTGTTTTGAAGCAAATTAATGTATATAAAAGGAGTACTTATATCTCTGCACCAGACCCATATAAATGCACGAACGATCATTATGCACCTATATAAATACACGCCTCCACTTACACATCTTACTTTACAAAAATATGCTTTTATGTATGCAGTTCTGAAGCAAATGAATGTAAGTAAAACGACTATTTATGTCGCTGCTTACAGGAAATTTATCACTATTGCAGAAATTTTTTTACTATTGCTGAAAAGGATAAAAATCCCCCTCTTCAAAGAAAACTTGTCTTCATCGAATTCCCAGAAAAAAAAAGATTAAATTTTATGCTTTTTCGCCACCAGTGCATACACGATTTCAAATTACATTCACATGATTTAAAATCACACCTCGTGATTCCTATTCACGCGTTTTAAGATCTCACATTGTGTTTCGTACTTTTGCCATTTTATATGAAATATTGCTTTTCGTGTTTGCATGATTTAAAAGCCACTGTTATGATTTGTGTTCAAGTGTCTTTTGAATTATACATCGGAATTCGTATTAGCATGATTTTAAAATGTAACATCAAGATTCGTATTAAGGCGATTTTAAAATCAAGCATCTAGATTCATATTAGCGCGATTTTAAAATCAGACATCGAAATCCATATTCACGCAATTTTAAATTTAGATCTTGTGATTCACTTTCGCTTGATTTATAAATCAGGCATTGAGATTCATATTCACACAATTTAAATAAATAAAATCTCGCATCGATTATTTTTTTATTTAAGCATTGATAAAATTACATTGTCATAAATGTTTCCTACACACAATTTTTCTTGCTCAAATTTCAGGTATTTTTAATTATTTAAAATGTATTTTTGCATATAACATTTTCAGCTATTTTTTTGATTTTTTACCAAACTCATTCTAGTGATATGGATTAATATAAAATTCTTTAAAAATTAAACATTTAAAAAAAAATCTGATTTTTAAACGAATTTTGCCAAAATGAAGTGGCAAGGAAAGGGTTGAAACTAATTCCGAAAGTTAATCATTGCTTGCCAAAAGATTTTTAATTAAGATTTTGTGTTTGCAGAAAGTTTCTCATTTTATCAAAGTCTGCTTTGCACATTATTGAAAACTGAAAGAAAACCATGTAGATATACTAACATCAGTCTGGACCAGTTATGGATGTAGATGTAAAAGTAGTTGACTTCATCTAGTCAAAGAATGACATTAATTTAAATTTTGTACAAAATTCAGAAAAACTCAGCAAATTGTCCTAAAACTAATTGCCATCCGTTTCTACTATTGAATTTCTTTACCTATATTAGCACACATCCTTCATGATTTTAAAAATTTATTGTTGTGGCATAAAAGGTTGTAGACCCTAAATTTAGGCTATTGTTGTGCTTCAAATTTTGAATTTATTTTAATAAATTTAACTTCAACTAAATCAATTAACATTGTTTAAAATAAAAATTCTTTTGTGATAAATTTTGCTTTTATTATACTTAAGAAAAGCACATTAAAAATTTTTTAGTTTGTCTTTTTTTAAAAATAGTCTAATGTATGCATAATGTTTCAAAAAATGTCCCAATATTTTTGAAAAATGTTGTCCTGAATTTTCTTTGTCCCTCTACGAAGCCTGTACTTTGTGACCAGATGTGACATAGAAATGATGTTGTATTGATATTGATGCAGTTGACTTTTAACTGTCCATGCTTTTAAGATTTTATTGCTCATTTTGGTAAATCAGTATTATTTTCACATTCTTTTCATAATGATGAATTATTTTTAAAAATTCTCAAAATAATCAGAGAAATCTCAACAAATTTTTTTCTCCAGATATTATGTGTGAACCCTGTTATATTTTATTTTATTAGTCAGTAATTTAATTTTTATTTCATATGTTAACAGTATCACCGATTTATATTTTATTCTAAAATATTTTACTATATTAATGAAAAATTTAAATAAGTTTCTATTTAAATTTCAGAATCCAAGACTACTGAGTCAATTTATGTCTTCTTATACTGGGTTTATATATGATAAACATATAACAGGTCTTTGTACTGCACAGCAAAAGCGCTTAGTAAGTGCTATCAAGTTATCTCAAACATTAGGTGAGTAAAATTTAAATTTTTTGTTTTGATTAGTAATTTTTTTATTTTGAAATTGTCTTAATTTCTGAATTTTGTATTTAGGATACATGCCAATTTTGATCAAGGCACCACAATATCTCAGAGATCCAAAACTTTTTGATCCATTTAAGCCTTCAAGACATAATCCTCATTAGCAATGTGGCTCATTGAAATGTGTTTTGATATTGTATATAGAGTAGTTTTAAATTAAAGAATAAATGCTTTTGTTAAAAATATCTTTGATTGTTTTTTTGTTTTGGTCTTTGTAACACTAAGAATGATATTATTAATTTGTCATTAATGAAACAGCTATAATTCAAACTGAACATTATATATAATATATAGAAAGATATACCACTATTCAAATAAAGGTGCATAATAAATATGTATCTTTTTAAGAAACTGAATTAAAATTTGTTAGCGTTACAACAGATTAGTTAGAGATGGCAAACTCCTATTTTTTTCTGATTATTCCTGTTATTTTCTTTATTCTCTTTTTTCCTACCTTTTCCTATTATTTCTGACTTTTTCTTTTTAAAACTATCTTCATAATTCATTTATTGTTTTTATGTCATTAACTCTTTCTGTTTTCTCTACCTTAACCGACAGTCAAGGAAGCTAAGTTAAGACGGTGATTCAAGGTCACATATTGTACATTTTTAAAAATTGAGAGTGTTGGCAGACTGCAGTTTCTTTTCAGTAAGTTTTTTATTGGCTTGTCATTTGACGATGAAGCAATATAATAAACTAAATATGTGAGGGGGTGCTCAAAAAGTGTTTTTTTAGCACACTTAATAAGTTACTAATAAAGCTCTTGACATTTCGGTTATTTCTTGTTTTATTGTCATAAATCATTTTGCATTGTTATTTTTTGAATGGGTATTTGATAAATTTTGAATGAAAGCTATTGCATTTGGTGAATATATTAATTTAAAGTAAATATTTTTCTTTTGACACACATATTTTTTCACATTTCTTTTGTCTAACCCTCCTATTTTTTGAAAAATTTGGTTGCGGTCTTTGACTAGTTTTAAAATAACATTTTCATTACAAAAAAAGTATAACACTTTTATTTGGAAAGAAATAATAAATTTACCAATTTTAATTATTTATGTATGTCTAACTGTACACAACCAGAACGAAGAGCATTAGTGGGAAAAAAACAGTAATTATTTCAGTTTGCCTTTCTGTACCTAGATTTAGAAATGAAACATCAAGGCACTAGTATTCACATTGTTTGTGTTTATTCCCCATTTGGCTACTGATTCTCTATTATTTTTTTATTAGCAAGAAAGAAACAAAGTTATGTACAATATTCCTCAAAATTCCATTAATTTAGTGATATGAATTTAAATTAGCATTTGTGACTTGATTAAATTTATAAAAGCGAAAAATATCTTAAGAATAGTAATATCTTATAGCCTTATTTCATTAATAAAGCCTTGTGTTATAAAGCAAGCACATCAGCTCCAATTTCGATATTACTTATGATTATGACTTACAATATTACTTTTAACTGTATGAAACTTGTTGTAAATGGTATTATTAAAAAAAATAATAATAAAAGTAATCACTAAGACCATTTAACCGTTACAATTTTTATTTGTATGCCTAAACCTCTTTTTTACCCCAACTTCACAGTTTTTATGTGTCGTGTTTATTTTTTATTTGACTATTAATATTCTGACCATGTAAGCAATCCTATGTAATATAAACCATTGAACTATTGATACCCTGTAAATATTCCAGTATCACAGGAGGAATATACAAGAAATGTGCTTGAATTCATTTGCTTATACAACATTTGTTATAATTATAGTTGTATTGTTTCAACATCTGCAGAAAACTTGGATAGAGCCAAATTGTCACTAACAAAAGAAACAAAAAGTGCTTTCAAAAAGGCCTATAGAGAATTCACTCTAAAAAATGATGATAGAGAGATCAGTATTCCCGAGTTTTTAAGAAGTAAAGAGGATGAAACTACTGAAATATTTCTATCTGAACTTAAAAAACCAGAAACTGAACTGAATAAAATTTTTATAAGTACACTTTTAAATGAAATAAAAAAAAAGAAATTAAAATAATTACTGTTATATTTGAAAAAATGATAGACTGCTGTTGTATTGAAAAAATATTCAAACATAATTTATTAATTTAATTAACTTTCTCTTAATAGATTCCCTCTGTTTAATCAATGGCATTTACATTTAATTTGAATAAAACCTCATCCATTTCTTTTACATGTTTGTTACTTTGTCAACCGATTGGTTCTAATGAATATTTGTCACCTTTTGCTTTACCAGGTTTCCATTTCTTGTCAAAAATTGCCTTTCAAATCCAATATTTAAATCACCAAACTTAAACCACAGGTAGAACTTGCATCATTATAACATGTCAACTTTCAAGGTTGATGGCCACCTTTGAAAATTCGTTGTGTGAAAAGAACACTTTCAAGTTTTGCATATAGTTCTCCCTAATATTTTTGATTGATATTCACCTCGCTGTCTTGCAACTGTTCAAAAAAGGAAACGGTAGAAGGCAATCTTGGTTAATTTTTTTTTTATCTATTTCTACTTAGTAAATCATAATTTATTGTTGTTCAAATAAATACTAATTTTTATCACTGCATTGTACTAAATATAGGAAACCAGATACTATAACTGCTTTTTCGTTAAGCTGTCTTACTTTAAACTTTCTAATTAATCTATTGATATTTATAAAGTAATATTGGTATTTTGATCTTATAAAAGTTTCCAATTTGACTAATTGGAAACGAATGGAGTTAGATAAGATATATTACAGACTTGAATTCTTGATTGTGCATATAGTGAAAGTTTTTTCCTATGTTTAATGAGATGTTGTATTAAGTGTTTATTTTTTAATTATGCTATCAAGTATGTACTATTAATTCAAGTACATTTTGTTTTAATTGTTAATTCAAGCTATTAATTGTTAAAATAATATAATTTATTAAAATTAAACTTTATTTAAAACCTTGTTTTAAACAATGGCCTATTAACTTTTAAACACCTAAATGTTTTTTCTCTACACAAAATGAACAGTGGCTTAATATTTTATTCATTGATATAATTTGCACATAATTGCACTTTTTTTCTAACTTTAAAGTTAAAGGTTTTTCTAACCAAATAAAGAAGACGTATTTAATGTGTTCTCTCTCATTTGAGGTCTTTAAAAGTGTAAAATGCTGTTTTTAAATGTTTTATCAAATTTAAATTAGAGAAAAATGATTTAAAAAATTTTGTATAATTTTAAGTCTGTATTTATAATCTGTGAATATGTCTGGGTTAAGTATGATAGATTATAAGTTCTCTGGGTTAATCAGTGGGTTAAGTATGATTTTAAAATATTTAGTAAATTTAAGCAAGGTTTATTCTATTTGTTTTTGGATTATTTATAATTTTATAAATAAACTCATAAAATGTTAAGAATAATACAAGAATTATTAACGTGAATTGTATGCTGGAATCGATACATTAATATACAAAAATTAAAAAAATTTCAATAATTTATGTTTCAAAATTAAATAAAATTTAAAACAGTTATACCTTATAGATGCATGAACTATATTAAAGTGCATATTAGGCAGGGAACAAATTATTAAAAAAAAAGCCCTGTTGCTAAAATGCATCTAGACGTGCTTCCAAGTTAAGTTTTACTCTTCGAAATTTTACTGAGAGTGAAGATATTCCTAGTAAACTTTGTTACAGATTTGTTTCTTGTATGAAGGAAGAGTATTCAAAAAACAGTTAGTGAGTGGATGGGTGACAATAACACATTTCTTGTGTTCTGAATTTAGGAAATTAGTTTCTACCCTGACAATTACTATAGCTGTTTGTCAAGCAGGTTTTGCATCATAATTGGAATAATATCTAAAAAATGATTTAGTGGAGCTTTCCAGATTGTCTTGTGAAGGACCTTTTGTTTATGTCCACTTTTGAAGGTGTCAGTTGTTATAAATTTCGAATGGTGGAAAAAAGCGTATTTATAACTTTTCCATTTATTTTATAAATAAATTTCTTTAAAAAACTTTAGTCTCAGTAATCTGTAAATAAAGAATATAATTGAAATAAAGTGTCACAATGGTTAAATATTCAAGCAAAAATTTTTTAGTGTTTTTTTTGTATAATTTAGCTGTTAGTTTTAATATAATTAAAGTAATGTTATAAATGGTAAATAATTTACAAACAAGACTTCTGTTTTGAAATTAACTCTTCCACTTCTACCTTCACTCCAGAAAAATTAATAGAGGAGTGAAAAATGTTAAGCAGAAAATATTTAGAGTCCCTGTTTAATTTTCTAGAGTTTCTGAAATATTCATTTCTTTTCTGGAGCTTCTGAAATATTATTTCTTATTTATTTTATATTTTAAATATTCGTAATTTAAGTTTATAAACAGAGTTGTAAATAAAAGCTAAGCTAGAGGATCTTTTAAAGCATAAAAACTTGCGATTGTCATTTATATCTTTGAGAAGTTGTTATTCTAGTAGTCAAATTCTTCTGAATCCATAAAATTTTTAACTTCTTTCAAATATTACTACCAAAATAAAAAGTTTATAAAAAATGTTTGAAAACATGTCAAAAATTAAAGTAAACGCTAAAATACATTTGAAAAAAATAAAGAAAGAAAAACTATTATTTTATTTTTGTTTTACTGTGTTGGAAAGGAAAAACTTAATTCAGTTTTTTTTAAAAATAATTTGATGACTTTAGACAAAGCACAAATTCATTTGTTTCATTCTTACCTTTGAATATTTTTAAAATGACTAATTGTCTTTTTTTCGGTTTATATATTCATCTGCTAAAAACGTTTTTTTAAATTCTTTATTATAAAGTCAGTGTTCCGCTAAAAGGAGCTCAATAATTAGAGTTCCATAGCCGAAAAAAAAAAATGCTGAGAACTGCTGGACCAACGACTACAATGATCTTTAAGAAGATAGTGTTATACACTAAGGAAATATTTGTTTTGCTTTTCATTTATCTCAATTTATTTTACGTTATAGTTTAGTATTGATATAATCGGTATAATTTCTACAGATATGGAACGGTTTATAAGAACTGCTATTAATAATCAAGACAATCACGTTTGCATTATAAATTAACAATTATTTATGTTTTTAATAATACATCTTGTAAAAAAATATAAAAACGAAAATTTTCGAATTATTTATGTCTTAAAGCAAATTAAATATTTCATTTGTTTTAGACTGGAGAAAAA